TGCTTGAATTTAGGCTCAAGAATCACTTAAAACGGAGTCCGGATAATAGAGATATGCCTTTTTGAAGTTGGGCTGAAACAGGGGTTCCGCTCGAGAGGAAATCCCCACCGCTCGTGCGGCCCGAATCCGCTCGAGCGGAAAAATCGGCCGCTTGAGCGCCCAAGGAGCAGAACCAAAAATTATTTTTTTCTTCATGTTTTGCTCGTGCGGTGACCGTGGCCGCTCGTGCGGTCTAGGCAAACTCAGACAGTCCAAAAATGACCAAAAAAGCCAAACCAACTAACTCATTTCTAAGCTCAAATTCATGCAAAAACAACTCAAAAACATGATATCTAAGCATGATACAAGTGAAATTCTACATTAAACATTCTAATCTTACATCAACAACAATTCCATGGTCTTATCTCTTTCCCATATCCATACATTACATAAACAAATTCAAAGTATATAAACCATGAATAATCTTACAACAAAACTTGTTTCCATAGATCATCTAAGATTTGTTTCATGGGTCAATCACAAGAGTGGACTTAAATCAACAAAGATGGAGAGATTAGGGTTCAATCTCATGTCTTAAGCTCAAACCATTATACAATTCAAAACCCTAGTTCAAACCCCCAATCTCTTCTTGATTTCTTGACAAAGATGAGTTAGAATTAAAGTTTGTGAGTGATTTTCCATACCTTGGTTCAAATCTATGGTTTACCCCTTGATTTTCTTCAAATCCCTAGCTTCATCTTCTTCCTCTCTTTCTAACTCACACTACAGAGCTCTCAAGCACAAAAAGGAACACAAGAGGCCAACATATATGTGACTTAGTTTTTTTTTTTTTTAAAAAAAAATTCCAATATAATCATTACGAATCGTAATTTTTCAAAATCTCCCCAAAGGCTCTAAAAATCATGCTAATCATAGATATGAAGTCGGTTTTTGTTTATCACGCCTCTACGGCTCCTAATTTCAGTTCAAAGTTCCAATTGCAACACATATTCCTACTTTCAATAGATATGTTTTAAAATTCACATATTTCCCATACTTAAACTTGCAAATTCATATCAAACACATAATCACATATATAATTAAACATAGTACGGGTTGGGTTATCACAAACTTACAAGGATTCACACAAATAGAGTGTACATATGAGGCTTTCATGCGCGGAAGCATAAATTTAAATCTAATTAGTCCATAAGAGTTGTGCATAGATCAAATGAAATGGCATACATCTTGGATACAAATGAATTAAACTTAAATATTACATCTTGATCAAAAGGCTTCTCAAGCCAAAACATACAAAGGAAATGAATTACAAACTAAGAAGCATAATCTTGAAGAAGCTAGCAAAACATGAATCCAAAAACAACTTGCAAATAACAACCTAAGCATCACTACCTTCTTGCTCATCACCTACATATATATATAAGGGAGAGGGGTGAGCTGAAAACTCAGTGAATGATATAAGTAATAAAGATTTGAATGAATGATATTCGAGATCTTTATCAGAACCATACATATCATTACTTGTAACAAAACGAGGAATAAACCAAGTCCATCAATCAAAGTCTTTCAAAGCTTCTTGGGATGTTTACTAACATCTATATAATACAAGGGATGACATTCCCAACAAAACAAGGGAATAATTGACCCGGAATCGATTAGAAAAGTCCGCCCGCCGAAGCCATCGGTGGCGAGGGAGATATCTCAAACAAGGGTGCTACATGTATTAATGTCCCCTAGCACGAAAGGACCTTCCAAGAATGTCATCAAAACAAAGATAATACTTGATACAAATGCTAATGGATAATCATTCATACTTGATCAAATACTTTTCCAAAACAAAGCAAAGCTTTTATTAAGACATTATAATATAGTTTTATTAAAAATACCACTCACAATAGCTCTTTGGATATAGGGAATTAGGGTAAGAATCCAAGACCTACACATGCATAGCAAAGTCCACTGAATGCATTTCAAGAAGACAAGAAGAGATGCTCAAAGATGGGTATGTAATGCACTTTCAAAACAGGCTTCAAATGAGTAAGAAAGATCCCAACATTTCTTTCCAAAACCAAGTCAAGGCAAAGTAGAACATATGTTAGGAGTCAAATCACTATTTTCTTCTTAGAAAAGCATGCTGGGTACAAACTAGGTCTCAGAATGGATGCACAGAGATGATCTAGGCCGAAATGGCCTAGCTGGGTGAACTCAAGAGGTCTTGGCCGAGGTGTGGTCTCCTTGGCCAAGGTGTGCGGCTGCCTGCCGAGTTGTTACAAGGTGCTGGCAAGGGTGTACCATGGTCGGCCTAGGTGTGCATGCAAGATAGACTAAGGTGCAAGTGATCATGCAAGATAGGCCAAAGTGAGATACAATGCTTGGCCTAGGTGTGAGGTCTGAACAAGAATAGGTCTCAATGACCACACTTAGGGAAATGAGGTCTGGAAATCTGGGTTTCCTCTTAAAGAACATGAAGAACTTGAACATGAAGAACATGAATGCTAAAATCATAGCTTTTTATTCAAAATCTAAGATTTCATTATATGAGTTAAAAAACATGGAACTTAATACAAACTTGTAAATCAAAATATGGTTTTTCTTCAAGAACACAAGAACATCACTTTCTCTTTCTAAAATAAAACTTTAAATCAATGCATGTCTCATGAATCATGCTAGATCATGCAATGTGATCAGATTAACACAAAAGAACAACAAGAGTAGATCAAGAATCTAACCTCAAGACACAAATCCAACGGTTTAAGATATGAAGACCAAGCTTGGAAATCTAGTTCTCACTCTAAGAACTCATTCTTCTTCTTCCTAGAGCTTTTCTCTCTACAAGGCAAGGATATGGCAAAATGATATGGGTTCCTCACTGCTAGCTAGCTTAAACCACTACTGGGACACGTGGCATCATCTAATCAAATCTCCTCAAAAAGATGTCAGAGTAAAAAGACAAGGGTATGACAAAGTGTGTATAACAAGTAAGATGGCATGAGTACTCTAACAAGGCAATGATCTTGGATCAAACATAGGCTTCGGGCAAGCAAGGTCTTCCTGATCTCAGCTAGGAAGGATAACACTTGGCTTAGCTGTGCCACACCTCGGCCTAGATGTGCCACATCTCGACCTAGGTCATCTAGGTCAAAGAACAAAATTGCTAGGTGCTAGCTAAGGTGCACAACAAGGCTGAAAGGTTCAAGGATCATAGATCTCGAATGCCTAGATAATAAACATCTCGGCCTAGATGATAAACATCTTGGCCTAGGTGATGCACACCTCGACCCAGATGATTCACTTCTCGGCCAATATGTTAGGGTGACGGTGGAGGTCAATCAAGGTGGTTCCAAGATGGTCCTAGGTGTTGGCGCTCAACGGACTAGATGTAAGAGGTTCAAAGGTGTGACCTAGGCATGAGGTAACAAAGGTAGGCAGCCTAGGTTTAACACACAAAGTAAGGAACAAAGCATGCAAATAACACCTAGGCAAAACACGTTAGCACAAAACAAGCCAGGAACCTTTACTTAGGTATAACAAATCAAAGTCTGTAAATAAAAGTTTAACAGGGCAAAATCATATAAATGCTTATGAATATGACTAAGGCAGAAATGAGGGTTGTTATACTCTATTATAAAGATGGATAGTTTTTGGTGTGTGTTGTGGTGTGTATTCAAAGACCAGTGGTGTGTTACCATAGGGTTAGTAATGAAAAGTTAAGGTATGAAATAAGATATTTTTAAACCCTAAAAATTATTTTGTATGTGTATTAAGTAATGGTAAATTAGTGGTGTGTAAATAGGATCACCTATAAAATTGAGTGCTGCTATTAGTACCCTATCAATTATTTTAGATCCCTTATTTTTTAGTTTTTTTTTTTAATTACAATATGAACCTCAAAAATTTTGGGACACTCTATCTCACAATTAAACCCACACACCCACTACATCATGAGTTAGGGTCTATAAGACCACTCATCTCCATTACCACCCATCTATCTTTCCTAAATCACACATTCAAAATTTGCCCACTCTCAAAACTTTGAAAACCCTTTGCCGACAATATTTCAGTGGCAACAGTGGCAACCATTTGATTACATATACTTCTTTAACAACGACTATGAGTGTGAGTTTTTATAGTAACCACAACTCCATATGACGAGAGGAGTACAACAATAAAAGCTCAAAAGAGATTCATAACTTTGATGGTGTTCTTATCTTAAAGAAGATTGGTCTCGCAAGAGTAAATTTCTTAAAAAAAAAATAACAAAAATAATAAAAAAATGTTCGTCATTATTTCATGACTAAACTCCTAAACATATGACTGAAATTCAGGAACACAGGTCCGAACATTGTTTATTTGTTCAAGAATAGATAAATGAACATTTTTTATTTGTTCGAGAATAGATAACCGAAGTAGCAGCAGAAGCAGGCAAACAAAGGAGGTCGGACCACTCTTGAGTGATTGACTAGCCAGTTGACCAAGGGGGTCCACCGGGGGTGAAATCTTGCCTAGTTTTTGCTCACGCAAAGAGTATAGAAGTACAGTGAGGCCATAGATAAATCATAGAAAATCAACCAGAGAAGTATGAAAGTGGATTGTATTGTGTATGTGAAAAGAGGTAATAGAAAAAAAAATCAAACAGATTAACAAACTTCGTAATGAAATAAAGAAAAAATTTCTTAATCATCACAAATTTTTTCCATTAGTTTTGGGAAATTTTACCATCGTGGGTTTTGTTAGAGTCTTGGGGGGAAACTTTTTAGGATGTGCAGGTGTGGAGATGTATATTCGAATTGGTAAAATGTTTTTATAAGGATAATTTTGATATTATTTGGGAGAAGAAAATAAATTTTAAGAATTTTAAAATTTATAAGTAAGGTTCTAAAAAAATAAAAACCCAAAATAATTGATGAGGTGCTAATAACAGTTCTAATCGAATTTTTCTTTTATTTTTTAAAAAGACCAAACTACCCTCACTCAAATCAAAACACAAAAAACCGAGTCAAAGAAAAGAACTCGCTCAACAGCGCACACACCATGCCACTTCGATTTCACCTTCGTTGTCTCTCTCTCTAAAATTATCTGGCACTTACCTGTTCTCTGTCTCTCTGGAATTTCGGCAGTGGAGAAAGCACAAGCACAAAGCTTCGAATTCATCACCTGATTCGCCGTTAGGGTTCATTCTCTGTGCTTCGAAACGATTTGTTGTTCTCCGAAGCTCGACCTGGTTCGATCAAATTCGCATATGAGATAGTGAGACTACTATGGAAAGTTTCAGCTTAGTTCTCGTCTTGGGCTTTGCAATCAAATTTGAAGTCTGAACTCTGATCAAACTCTATTTTATCTCCTCACAGATCCATCTCAATCTGTTTCTCTGGTAAGCACATCTTCTCTGTTCATTACATGTATGCAAAATTTGTATTTATAGGATTGACTTTGGATAATTCGATGATGAGAAAATTAGGTTATTGTGCTTGGTCCATGTTTCAATTTTTAATTTGTTTGGGTTACATATTAAACTTTGAATTTTAGGGTTTAGAAGGCAAGGAGGGATGTTTGTGTTGCTTTAAGTATTTATGTGGAGATTATTGATGTATGGGAATAGGTACTTGATTTCAAATAGCAGAGCTATTTTATGTAACTGGAAGCTCTAGCCCAGCCTTACAATGCTGGTATCATTTATTTTTAGGGAGCTTTTAAATATATTCTTCACTTTATTAACTACGGTAAATCACACTTGTGGCTAACATTAGTATCTTGACTAGCGGTTGGTTTATAATCCCCGTAGGAGATAGGGGATTGGGTTCATGTCATGGAAGCTTCTATTTGCATCTCACTTTTATATCATTACACCCATCATTTTTAAAAAAATTTGTTACAATTTTATCTATTGACAAAATTATCTCAAGGCTTGGTAACAAAAACTCGCAATTTTTTTTTAAAAAAAAATATATATATATGTATATATAATTTCTACAAACCCACTTACTAACCACCTTCTCCCCCACTTGGCATTACTGCCCAACTGTCACCTTTCCTCGCTCCGCCAACCATCGCCACCACCTCACTGACCATTGTCACCACCTCGCTGATCACCTCCATCGTCAACCATTGCCACTACCTTTCTCCTCTCCCTTTCCCTTTCCCCACTTGCAAACCACTGCCACCATCCCCCTCTTTTCCTCTCCCTCTCCCTCTCCCTCGCCCATCCCTTTGCTCCTTGCCTCTCCACCCCAAAGCCCTTTCTCACACCTTGAATCCCTCTCCTTCCTTCTTGACGACCACACCCTTACCACTCCCTTCAATGCCTCCCACTCGGATACCCCTCTATCTCCCACCTCGCTAGCCCCATTCCTTAAAACCCTAAATCTCTCTCTCTCTCTCTCTTGGTGGAGGATGGCTGAGGGTGCCACAATGGTGGGGGAGGGAGGGAGGGGTTGGGTGGTGTAGAGAGAAGAGGGAGGTTATGGATGATGGTATATTTAGATTTGTGGTTGGGGTGGGTTTGAGGGGCAAGTTGGGTGGCATAGAGAGAAGAGGGTAGGTTAGGAATGAGGGTATGTTTATAATTAAGGTGGTGTAAAGAGATGATGGAAGTTTTGAATTTTTAAGTGGCTATAATGAGAAAGTTGGTCTAAAGAAATAGAATTGTGGTGTAAATAAAAGCTCCCCTGTTGTCATGCTTATTATTTTATTTGGGAAAATTACATTGACCACCCCCTTCAAGGATTGGAAAATTACACTTCGCCCCAAGCTTGGGTATAAATACACTGACCTCCGTTGTGTTTTATAGTCACACAGCACTTTGCTCCTTGTTGGTAATAAACTGTTTTCATCAATTTTTATATTGAAATGCCAAAGTTACTCTTTTAATCTTTCTTAGTGCTAATTAACCCTGATTCTAAATTAATCCCTTCCTCACCCTAACGAACCAAGTCACAAAACACCCTAGCATAGTGTAGGGGTTCAATTAATGGTCGTACTTTCGTGGCTAACTGATCAGACCAATGGAAAAGACTACATGGGAAACAATGGTTGCTATTAATCATTTGGAGGTAGTAATTTGCAAAAATACTCTCTCTATGTTTTCTTTTGCGATTATAGATTTTTTCAAATATTTTTTTTAATTATATATATATTAATTTTTATATTTTCTTTTTTGGTGTGTTTGTGTGTTTTACTTTCTTATTTTGTTGGGGAGGGTCTGCATCTGTGTGAAGCATGGACACCTCTCCAGAGGTGATATACATGTGTCCAACACGTGTTGGACATGGACATGCGCCGAACACGCTCCGAACATGTGTCGAACATGTTGGAAGGAGTCGGACATGTTGGGACACGCTGCAGACACATTGAGACATGCCGAGGACATGCTATGGACACCAAGGACCATTTTTTTCAAAAAAAAATTTAAAAATTTTAATTTTTTTTACTAAAATAGCATACCTAAGGTTGATAAATTTGATAACATAAAATTTATCAAAAAAAAAATTTTTTTTTGACAAAATAAAATATTTGACATAAAATAAATATTAAATATTTAAAAATATGACATATAATAAACATATAAAATTATATGTTTGTACGTATCTTTCATTTTGTTGACATATAATAAACATATAAAATTATATGCTTCTTAGGTTTGCATCTTTTTTCTTTTTCTTTTTCTTTTTCCCCTTTTTTTATTTTTATTTATGATGTGGGATTTGCATCTTTACACGATAACGGGTGAATAAAGGATTGGATTAAGAATTTGAATGGGGTAGGGATCATTGGGCAAGTGGTATCTCCAATTTGCCTTTGAGTTTGTTTAACTCTTGCTAGAGTCTTTACAAAAATACCCTAAAAAGGCGGAGGTGGACACATTTGTGCCTAGAGGGGGAGGGGTGAATAGGCTAAGCTTTTAATTCAAATAACCAAACGAATTATTTGTTTCCAAGTTCAATATATGAATCATATGTCATCCATACAATGTCACATTAATAAAATAAAGCAAAATAGTAGACATAAGATGACTAGATAAGTGGAAAACCCTTTTGGAACATCAATCCCCAAGGGTGAATTCCACTGGCACTCTTGCCGGTCAAAATGCACTATGATTCTAGGGGTTTCAACTTTAGTACAAAGGCTCAAATTTTATTGAATTGTGACATTTGTGCCATTTTTTTGTTGCTTTGGTTATAACGGAATGTGTGAATTTTTTAGGGTTTGGGAAAATGTAGGTGAGGGAGAGGTCCAAAGCAATAAGGGGCATTGTTCACATTAGTGGTTGATGTAGAATGGTTGATAAGGCAAAGGAGAGGGGCTTAGTGGATGGTTTTGTAGTAAACAGTTTGTGTCTCATCTTTAATTTGCTAATGATATCATTTTTTTTCCTCTTCAGTTGAGAAATCTTAAGAGGTTAGTTTGCTCTCTATTTTGAGGGTCTTTTGAGTTGGTTTTTAGGTTTTAAGGTGAATACAAGGAAAACAATTTAGTTGGGTTGAACATTTCACAGGACAAAATGCATAGGTTAGTTGGGTTGGCTACTTCATTAAATAAAATGTTTAGGATCTAATGATTGAGAAAATTGGTATGAGGTTGGATGGGAGGAAAAGAGCTTTAATATCTAAAAGGGAAAGTTTTTCTTTTGTCTACTTGGGTACTTATTTACTATATTTCCTTGTTTAGAGTGCCAATGAGTGGCAAGCAAAATTAAAAAATGGGTAAATTACACTTTGCTCACTTTAAATTTTAGCATTTTCGCACTTTGACCCTTAAAGTTTATTTTTTCTTACCTTAGTCTACGTTTCTAATTTTTCTCAATTTACTCTTAACAGTTGACTTTTGTTCAATTTTGGACAGAAAATGCCATGTCAGTAGCTACTAGAATAGTAACACATTATTATGCAAACTTTGGTAAATTACACCTTTTCCCCTTAAGTTTCAATGTTTTCTCACTTTAACCCCAACATTTCTTTCCCACTTCGGCCCCTAATTTTTAAAATTTTCCCTATTTATTGCTACACTGAATGTTCATCCAAAATTGGATAGAAAATGCCATGTTGGTTACCTCATGGCATAATAATCCATAACCTACCACCCTCCTCCACCACTTCCTACCATTGTCCACTGAAACCCTCACCCTCTTCTTACTGCCAATTTTCCATCATCTACAACGGAACAATACTATCAACCACCGCCCTGCTCCACCTCATTGCTGCCACCAACATCTCAAAACCACCATGAAGCATCCACCACGTTATGCCCTTCAAATCGATGCCATCAAACACCATCATTGAACAGCATTTTTCTCTCAATTTTAGTTGCCATTTCAGTAGATTTAGGGAGAAGGGGACGATGGAGTGTGGGGTTCGAATTAGAGGCAACGTGCCTACAATTCCTTTAAATTCTTACAAACTTTGGTTGTTGGAGCAAATTGGGAAAAATTAGAAACATTAGGAGACTGAAGTGGGAAAAAAGAAAACAAACTCAAGGGCACAAAATGTAATTTACCCAAATTTGTATAATAATGTGTTATTACGCCATGTGGCTACTGATTCTGTGCCACATAGTGGCTGACATGGCATTTTATGTCTAAAATTAGATGGAAGTTAATTGGAGTAAACTAGAAAAAATTGCAAACATTAGGGAACAAAGTTGGAAAAATTTTACTTTTAAAGGGCCAAAGTGAGAAAATGTTAGGGAGGCAAAGTGTAATTTACATTTGAAAAAGTGATGCGGAATTTCTTGTGAGAGAGTACTAGGGAGGGAAAAAGAAGTTCATTTGGTTGGTTCGGATGTGGTTTCTCTTCCAAAGATTAAAGGGGGGGCTTGCTTTAGGGCACATCAGTGGAGAAGAATATTGACTTGCTCGGTAAATGGTTGTGGAGATTTCCATGTTGAGATAAATTCTCTGTGGCATGTAGGAGTCGGTACAAATACAAGATTCTGGAAAATTCACTCATGTGGTTAATTGGGGGAATGCTCGAGCTCTGTGGAAATCCATTTCTCAAGTATTGTCTTGTTTTTCTTCCTATACTCGCATTTGCTTTTGGAAAGATTTTTAGAGGGGTGGGATTCTTTTGTTTATTGTTTCCCTAACTGTGTTGATTATCTTGCTCGCACAATGTGTCTATTACTTCTATGATTTCATGTTTATTCCAATTCAATGTTTTTTAGAAATCTCAATGATTGTGTGGCAAATGAATTTGCTTATTTGTTAACTATTCTTAATAGGGTTTCTTTGAGGCAGAATGGTGTTGATAAACGAATATGGACCATTCTCTCTTTTGCAAATCCATTTTTTGAGAAGCTCATTGATGATACAAATGTACCATCCTTTTATCCTCACAAATTTACATGAGTGCAAATGTTTCACTTAAAGTCAAGGTATTTGCATGGAGCTCACAAGAAGCTCAATACCAATGACATACCAATGACATATGTCAGATTAGAAGACTTAATTGCTATTTACTTCCACAGTGGTGCTTTATGCATTGAAGGATGAGGAGAATATCAATAATTTGTTTTTACATTGTCTTGTGGTGTTGGCTATATAGTGGAGATATTGCAATTAATGGAGATGGAGTTGGTAACAATTTTAGCCTATATATGATCATGTGTGTGAGTATTCATTCCTTTCAAAATAAACCACTGGGGCGCTTTTTTGCACAAAATCTGCTCTCTTGTTTGGGCCCTAACTAAAGAATTCTCCTCTATTTACTTCGAATTGTGCTATGGAACAATTTAACTCTGTTATCTTTTGACAAGCTATTATAGTACTTCTTGTATCCTTTATGATGCTTCAACACACAAAGGGTCAGATAAATGTAAAATCAACAAACACGTGGTGCCGTGTTCCCAAACCGATCACTATCATTTTCTTTCTTTCTTGTTGTCTTAAATTGGTATAGAAGGGCTTTATATCAGGTGTAGTTCGTAGGATGAAGTGGGATAAAGTGTTAGTGGAGCCCATATTCTTTTGACTGCTATGTGAGCCCATATTCTTCTGTTACTGCTACATGTCATTCTTGTGAAAGTACAAAGTTGCTACAAAAACCGGTTTTGACAATGGGATGGTGTATGTGCCTGTAGCAATTGAAGGCTCATTGCAGCAGAATTGTGGATCAGTTTGTAAAAATTGATTACGTGACTCCATTCTTTAAACTCATTCATTTGTTGTTTTTTTTATTTATTTTTTGCTGTAGGGGTTTCTGCAATGCACCGTGTAGGCAGTGCAGGGAACACATCCAATTCAGTTCGCCCTCGTAAGGAGAAGAGGTTGACTTATGTGTTGAGTGATGTAGATGATAAAAAGGTGAGGCACTTCTCCATACTCTGATGTTTGTTCTCATATTCATGTTGTATTAAACGGGCACTTTTTCTTGCCGACAGTCAACTTAACATTATTGTCATAAGGAAAAGATGATAATATGAGGACATTGTTGTTCCTGTTATATACCACTATACATTTGTTTGTTGTGGAATTTGTCATTTATGTTTCCTAAGATGATTGGTTTGCATTTTGCTTGATATGTTGTAAAGTTAACTTGCTTCACATAACTTCAATCTAACACCCTCATTACCCACCTCATACGTAAATGAGTTTGTCAACTGTCCTTAATCATAATCATTCTTCTCTCTCTCTCTCCCTCTCTCGTCCTTTTGACGTTCATTGCAAGTTGTAACCTCAATAGTTTGTTTCTTTACTACTGGTGATACAATCATGTATACACCAATACATGTTGCTATGTTCTTTGTTTCCAATTGTGATGAAGCTTAATGAAATGTTCAACATTTTAGGTTGCTGTTTGTATATGTTCACCAATATATACATATATTTTGGTTATTACATTTTCTGTGTCAAATTTTATGAACAATTAATTGCATTCTGGTGTTTTAAGGCATTTTGGCTGCTTCAGTCAAATATTATCAGCAACTTTTTATGCATGACTTTAAAAAATTTTAATTCAATAAACTATATTCGGGCGTAGCATGTGCTCTACTACTAATAGGCCTCTATTATCTGTGCCGACATGGAATTGAGTGCCCTTTTTTCGATCTTTTTGAATTTTTATATTAATAGTCCCTTATATTACTTTGGTTGTACTTTATTTATGGAAGATAGAATCATGAATTGAATCTTAACAGAAGTTCTATTATTTATTAGTGATGAATAAGGTTTTCACTTTTCTGGCCATGATCCCAAGTTAATTGACAGTTAAACTGAATTCACACAGGCTTTACATGTGTAATGTGTGCATCCATCTAGTATGCGAGAAAACTCCTCTTCACCCATTCTTGTGCATTTTAGTTTTATAAGAATAATTTTTCTGTGATTCATTCATTTTATGAGTTACTACCGTTAGGTGAGTAATAGATTTCCATGGTACTCCATTTTGAAATGTTTTGCTATTTAAAATGAATTACTACCGTTAGGTGAGTAATAAATTTCCGTGGTACTCCATTTTGAAATGTTTTGCTATTTGCAGCATTGTGCAGGTGTGAATTGTTTGGCTTTATTGAAGTCATCAGCGACAGATGGGTGTGATTACCTCTTCACTGGGAGCCGTGATGGCACTTTAAAGAGATGGGCATTGGCTGGAGATGAAGCTACCTGCTCTGCTACATTTGAGTCACATGTTGATTGGGTACTTTCTGTTCTGGCACCTGGTTATATTTTCTCATCCACTTTTCCAGTTGGCATTTAATTGAAGAATGCTTTTTTCAAATACTTTGATTTGGTCTCTATATCTCTCCCCCCTCCCTCCCTCCCTCCCTCATGAGCCATCGCTATGTTGGCTCTCTCTTCTTTTTTGGGTAAATTTCATTTTACCGCCTTGCACTATCACTCAGTGTCAGTTCACTCCCCTCCACTAAAAAATGCTACACTTTGCTGCCTTGAACTATTAATTTGTATCTGTGTGTACCTTCTGTTAAGGATCCATTATGTAAATGGATGGAAAATGGATATGTGGCTTGCACATGACATCTCAAATATTGTGAAATGCTTAAAATGACTTTATTCTTCTTCTTTTTTTTTTTCCTTCTCTCCTACCCACTTCCTTTCCTCCTTTCTCCTATCAACATCAGCAGTCATGGCTGTCTACACCACAGTTGCCATGGCTACTGCCATCTCTAGAAGAAAAGAAGGAAAAAGAAGGTTATTTAAGCATTCCACAATATTTAAGATGTCAGGTGCAATTTTCCATCCATTTGCGTAATGGATCTTTAACGAAAGTTTCACATTGATTCAAATTGTTAGTTTTTTAAGGTGGCGAAGTGTAACGTTTTTTAGTTGAGGGGCCTCAAGTGATACTTAGTGATAGTTTAAGGGGGTAAAGTGTAATTTACCCTTCTATTTTTTATATCAATTGCTGATGAAGTCTTATTTGTGTGCCACTTTAACCTGGTTATGGTTGTGTGGAATAGCTAACTCAACTTGAACAACCTCTAAAACCCTTTGATATTGAAATTTGTGATTGATATGAAACTATTTTTGTTCATACTTTTTCCATCTTATGAGGTGTATATACATATGTTAGCATTGATGGAATGGAATGCATTGTGCAGGTCAATGATGCTGTTATTGCAGGCGGTAATACACTTGTTTCCTGTTCCTCAGACACCACTCTCAAGGTTTGTCAACATGATAAACTGTGAGTAGTTTCATTATACATCCATTATGTACGCCCCATTTATTAATTTTTCCACCTGTTGAGATGCACCAGACATGGAATTGCTTCTCTGATGGAACTTGTACCACAACTCTTCGTCAGCACTCAGACTATGTTACTTGTCTTGCTGCTGCCCGAAAAAATGTAATTTCTGTGTCAAATTTTTTTTACCTTATTTACTGTGTGGATGCAACGTTCACTTCAGTATAATCTTTGCTATTCAAGTTGTGTGTTTATTTGATAGTGCAAGTGGTGCTTGGCGGCATAATGTTATGTTTTTATGCCATCGTTTCTGATCCTTCTATGGCATCATGATTTATAGAGCAATGTTGTTGCCTCCGGTGGCCTTGGGGGTGAGGTTTTTATATGGGATTTAGAAGCTGCACTTACTCCAACCTCTAAGACAAGTGATGCAACAGAAGATGATTGTTCTAATGGTATCAATGCTCCGGGAAATTCTCTACCTATTACTAGCCTTCGTAGTATTAACTCAAGCAACAGCATATCTTTGCATACGACTCAGGCTCATGGTTATGTTCCCATAGCTGCCAAAGGCCATAAGGAGTCGGTCTATGCTTTGGGAATGAATGATAGTGGGACCCTTCTTGTTTCTGGTGGGACTGAGAAGGTATATTTTGATATTAGGTTAGTTTTTATCTTTCAGGTTTGTTGGTTCCTGTGATAGCAATCGAATGACTGAAAATTGTGTCTGTTCCTATGTTTCCGTGAATAATTTTTTTTGGAATTCTTGTGATTTATTATTATCATAGAATTCAATTCCCCTTGCAATGTTTGATTTCATGTAGGTTGTGCGTGTTTGGGACCCAAGAAATGGTTCTAAGACCATGAAACTTAGAGGGCATACAGATAATATTAGGGCTCTACTTTTGGATTCTACTGGCAGGTTGGTTGAACATAACTGCATTTGTTTGGGATTTATGTCATAATTGGTTTTAATGAACTTTAATTTGATTTTGATTTTTATGCTGCTTGTGAAAAGAAACTCAATTATCTGTTGCGCTAGTTCTTTTGTATAGCTGATACTTTTCCAGAAATTTGGGTCTAGATTAAGTCGGAAAAATCAGTACTTAGGCTTCCATGACTTGACAGTGAAAAGCTGGAGTCCTCATCATTATCTATTACATAGTGCTCTGCCTAAATTATGGGGTTGTTTGGAAAGTGTTAGATTAGTATACTTTTTGACTTTTTACGAAAAGACGTGAAATATGGGTTGGGTTTGAAGTGATGTAGTAGAGAGGTGATGCAACCCAAATAAGATGATTGTGACCCAAATAGGATATTGTGCTAAAATAGCTTGTGCTATTTTAGCACATGCCAAACAAGCACTATATACACTAAAGTAAATGAATTTATGCAAAAGCATATCTTTGTATGTGTTTGAAAGATGTTTTTGTTCTAGGTTCATGTTCAAGTTTCATATTTCTCCTTGCCTGCCCTCTACAGTATCTTATGCTTGATCATCTCTGCAATTTGTTTTCTAATTCTTCTCTCTCCCCCGCCCCGTTTCTTTTCAAATTCGTCTATTTGTCATGACAATGAATCTATCCGTATGGATGCTAGTTGGAGGAGCAGTATGGGAATTATATTCAAAGATAATTTGTGAACTTCTTAACAAATAATTGGCGGATGTCGTTGTCAATACTTTTGTGCTCTTGCTTCTTCTACTATGATGAACACAATCTAGCTTGTGAGATAGGACATCAGGAATATTCATGGAATTGGTTTCAAACAAAGCTTAAGAGGTGGAAAGAGGGAGATGAAGAGATCGTAGAGATAGGAAGCTTAAGAAAGAGGAAACTGAAAGAGAAGAAGATAGAGTGTGGGAGTCATAGGGAGAGCAAGAAAATACAGAAAATAGAGAGGAGAGTTGCTGAGGTGTATGCTGAATAGCTTGCCATTTAATTTCAAGAATTATATTTTATTTGTGGTATCCTTTAACAACTTAAGCTTGGTTGTAGGATTAAGCTGTAAAATTAAACCTGATGAATGAAGAGGTCCTATATCATAAATTTGTATGAAAATTAGCATAACTTTAACGTTGATGAAATTGTTTTAAGAGGCTAAAAAATAGAAAGAAGAAAAAGAAAAAATAAAATAAAATCTTTTGCAATATTTTATTGAGCAATTGACATTTTCTCATTGGGTTAAACATTCACTACTTTATTTTACTTTAAAATGTGTGGCTACTAATTTGTATTCATGTTATTGAGCTGTGAACTTATGCTACTTGAACAAAGAGGTGCTATATTAAAATCATACACAAATTGGTATTTATCAAAAAAGGAAAAAGAAATCACATGCAAATTGGTAGAAGCTTAATTTGGTTTGTTCTTGTCTTAGTTACCGTGGTTATATTAACAAACCAAATTGGTATTTAGCAAAAGAGGCAAAAAGAAATCATATGCAATTTGGTGGATTCTTAATTTGGTTTGTTCTTCCTGTACTCAATTGAGGTCCACATGACAATTTAAAGGGAAAAACCAAATATTTTAAATTGAGTGTGTGACAATATTGAAATTTGGAGACATAACATAGTCAGGGAGTTGACAGGGGATAGAGAACAAGCAAGCTAGTGAATTTCAACACATAAGAAGATTGAGGAAGGGGAATTTTGTGTAAGATAATCAATGTAGTAGTCAATCATTAGGAGGGGGAGCGGGTAAGGTTTTGGAAGGATAGATGGTGTGGGGATCAGAATCTTGCTTCTTTATTCGCAACAAATTTTCGACTTGTGGTGGTTGCCTATTTAGGTTTGGATGAGGGGTGCGTGGTTTGGGATGTAAGGTTTCAGCGGTAGGCTTAGGATTGGGAGGTAGAGCAGTTAGTGGATTTGATGGTTTTTCTATATGGTGTTAAGAGGGGTAGGTGAGGGGGACGATTGTTTCGGCGGCAAGATGCTAATGGTGTGTTTTTGGTGTCGTCTTTTTTTCGAGCCTTGGTGGGAGGTGCAAATACTCTTTTTCTGTGGTGAAGTATTTGGAGTGCTAGAGCTCCTTCCAAGGTAGCATTCTTTTTGTGGGTGGCAGCGTTGGATAGGATTCTCACGATTGATATTCGTATTTGGCGTTGGTAGATTTTGGTTAATTGGTGATGTATGTATCATAGGGATGTCGAGTCATTGTCTCATCTGTTTTTTCATTGCTCTATGGCTTATCAGCTTTGGGTGTTTGGTATGGTTTGGGTGAGTGTTAAGTGTGTACTTCATAGTTGGAGAGGGGATAGGGCTGGGAAGAGGCGTGGCTTTGGAACCTCTATGTTTGATGTGGATGATTTGGTTGGAGCGTAATCAACGTGTTTTTCAGGGTGTGGATGAATCAGTGGTTCGTATGAATGCTCGGTTTCTAGTGATTCTGTATAGTTGGGTGTTGGGGACAATGTCCCCGGTTATGTTTGCTTTTGTGAATTTTATATATACTCTCTGTGTTTTTGTGGATTTTTTCAGATGTATTCATTAGCATCATCTTGATGCTTTTTTGTTAATAAAATTGTCTTTTATTTATCCAAAAAAAAAAATGTGGTAGTAAATCGTAGAATGTTTAAAGTAACTAATTTGGGTACAAAAGATATGTTTTTCGGATAGTTAGAAAATTAATAAAATTAAAGTACCAAACAGAGAGGCGACATGAAATAAGGAAACCACAAAATTGGAGTGGAGGTTTGGAGTTCATAAAAGCCAAAACACTCGTTGACAGTTGCTTGGTTGCATTCTTTAGCATTTAGTTTTGCTTGTGCTTGTGTTTATTCTATTTGTTATTGAAGCACTATCTTGATATCCAAAGTTATTTTTTCTAAGACATAATGAATGAGTTTTTGAGCCAATTATTTTTCATTGATATCATTCTTCTTATTTTTTATTTTTTTCTTTGCTTTCCTGACACAAACTACCCCTAACAGTTGCTATTATTGTCTTTGATAAGTTTAAAAAATGGCTCCTATCATATCTTGTAGTTTCAGCAACAGAATGTCTGTTGGGTAGTGTGGATGAGTACTGGACACTAATCAGTGCACTTGAATTCTCATTTGTAACTCTGTCCGATCACAGTGAAACAACTGTGACTGTGTTCATAGCCCTAGTTTAAATTCCTGTTTATTGTTCTTCTTTGTTTTTCATGTCTCACCAACCTTGGTTAGGTGTTCCACAATTCCCAAAATGTCATCCTCAAAAGTTATATTTCAAAAGCCTGCTGGATGCTTGAAATATATTCCCAATTTGTGTAGTTGCATCTTTCTAGACTTAGCAGTCTTTCCAATCCATTTTCATGGCTCACCCTGCTGTCTAATATTGCTAGACTATATGTACACTGTTTTCGGTTACATGGGTTACTAATGGTTTCAACCTTCATGATTGCAGGCTATGCTTATCTGGATCATCAGATTCTATGATCAGGTTGATTTCAGATTCCTTTACCTAACCATAATAAATTAATTCGTTATATTTTGACATGCAAATTTGTGATATGTGCAAATCTCTTGTAGTGTGCCATTAGTTTTCTGCTTCGATTTAGTGAGGGCTCAACTTCCATTGCAAACAGAAGAATCAAGTCATCGTTGGATTTGGATCCTACAGGATCATTTTCCGTCTAATTGCTTTCTCTGATTAGACCAATGATGAACATCTCTCTCTCTCTCTCTCTCTCTTCTGTGCATTTTGTGTGGTATAATGGCCATTAGTGATAGGGTAGTTTTGGAATATGATTAGTCCTGTTAGGGCCATTTTTTGTGTTATTCTCTATGACTAAAACTTCAAAATAGGAATTTAAGAAACTTTGATTACTTCAAACATTATAGACCTAATATAATGATTCAATAATGTAATTTGACCTACAATCAATCACCATAGCCTATCCCTAACAAGGTTAATCAAAATACCCTTACTTTTAATACTGGAGAAAACATTAATAAAACTCAACAGTATCAAACTCCTTGTATGAACCATAATAAAGATTCTAATTGACCCAAAAACTTCATTTGATGAGGCCATAATGTGCTCCATGCAAGATTCCTGATTCTCCCTTTTTATTATTCATTTGCTCTGCGTGATTACGTTCAAAAGAACTAACCTTGAGTTTCATATTGTAGTAGTATAAGAACCCATGATCCTCAAACTTGTAACCTCTGATGCATGCACTCCCATAGTTGTCAAATCGGGATTCGTATCCTGAATCGAAATGACCTTGTACCGAATCCTGAATCGAATCGAATAATGAATCGTAAAGATTCGGTCACGTTTTTTAAATTACTTAAAAACATATATCTACATATTTAGATATTAAATATATCTTTTGAATATAAAATACTTAGACTTAATGAAAATGTTATTTTGAATGATAATCACGTAGTTTAATAGGTAAGAAATTAACAAGGTTCCTATATAATATCACCATCTTACCTTTTTTTCTTTTTTGGATATTTCTTATCGACCATTCTTAATAAAGATAATAACCAAATAGGCAAACTATCAATTGCTAAAGTAACAATAATTAACAATGATATTGATATTTGGACAATAAGCATACATACTTTGCTTAGTAACAGTGAGCAAATAATAAGAAAGAATTATTTAGAATCTTTTATTTTAAAGCCTAAAACATTTTAAAAGGTATAACTAATCTCACACATGTAATATTCAATTTAATAAAATAGCAATAGATAATTCATAATGTAACTTTAATCTTGAATATCTTTAGAAGACATATTATGATTTTTTAAAGGGAATAAAAATGAGAAGAAAGGTTAAAAATATGTTGGGTCTAACTAAATCTGATTGGATTCTATTAAAAACTCCATGATCACTAAAATAACAACAAATCATGTATATATGTTGGTTATTTTGGTATTAAACGTTACTAGAAGTTATATTATGTCGTTTTCACTAAAAAGATGGAGAAAAAAAGAGTAAAAAATATGTCAGACACAATAATTTCAAAAATTGCATGAATCGTAAAATGTGAATCGAATTGTGAATCGTGCGATTCACTTCCAAAATAGATTCACTTATAAATTCGTATCGATTTTGCAAAAATTGCGAATCGAATCGTGAATCAAATCGCAAATCGTAAGATTCTAATAACAGAGTGCACTCCTAAAGTTGATTCAACACATTTATCCTTTTGGAAGCACAAATACAACATTAAGGAGCCCATCACTTGTGTTTTGCCGCAAATCAAAATCGCAGTAGTTTGCAAATCAGAAGCATCCTCAGATTGACCAATAAAAAAAATTATCTCGTCCTCATATTTGGCATTGATTTTCTTAGGTTTAGTATTGTAATCATATTTCTTTTTTGTGGTTTCCTTAAGCATGCAACTATCTCATTCACAGACATTTTTTGTTGGTCTGTTATATAGCTTTAGGAGATTCATATTTGGGGACTATAGTTGATGAACAATTGTGAGATTCCAATTCTTGTGTAAGAAAGGAAACGGAAATATGGCTCTTGAAATCCTGGTTTTCCTTCATCATTATCCCCATTAAAACCATTCCGTAGTACTAACCCCTAGCTGCCGTCGTGGTTAATTTGGATTTAGTTTTTGCAATTATAGCAAGTGCCATAAAATTGCTCATATTATTCACCTGGATTGGGTCACATGTCTCCAATTGCATTGTTTTTGGACTTTGAAAATCAACAAATGCCCATAAATAAGAGAGGAGAATTTACAGGTGGGTTTCTTTCTTGCTTTCACTGTACTAAGAATCCACAGCTTATGTTGGTTGGTATTGGAGCTAAGCATGGGGTTTTCAGTACACATGGTAGTGTTCGCTGACTAGAAAGAAATTCGTTGTTTGATTGCATTCACACACACATACATATTCGTGGTTACATGCCAGTCCCAAGGGATGCTATGCCCAAAGTGAAAAACAAACCTATGACTGTCTCTCTCTCTCTCCCTCCCTCTTATTTGAGAAATACTATATTCCCCGAGGTAGGAGTTATTTTCTGCCTCATCACATTCTGAAATATTCATATCATGAGATTAGCACTATGTTTACTCTACCTGGTGACCACTTTAATGCAACACATATTGTTTGATCTGTGGTTCAAGTCTTACCAAAGACATGGATAAAGACTGATATGTCTAACATGTGGCTTATGCATTTAAAAATGCTGCACTGAATATAAACTGAGCAATTTATTTCCTTTTAGTACTTTGCATGTAAGTGATCAGTTCTTCTCCTTATTTAATAGACTATGGGATCTTGGTCAGCAGCGTTGTGTGCATTCCTATGCGGTGCATACTGATTCTGTTTGGGCACTTGCCAGCACCTCAACATTTAGTCATGTTTATAGTGGTGGGAGAGACCTTTCTGTGAGTCCAGTTCTACAACTCAACCAATTCAAATTGCTTTTGAGTTTTTGTCATACATTCATACTTGTATTTATATGCCCAATTCTGTTTGTACTCCAGTTATACTTAACAGACCTGGCAACAAGAGAGAGTATATTGCTTTGTACAAAGGAACATCCTATTTCGCAGTTGGCATTGCATGATGATGGTATATGGGTTGCAACAACAGATTCTTCCATACATAAATGGCCAGCTGAAGGTCGTAATCCTCAGAAGGTCTTTCAAAGAGGTGGTTCATTCTTGGCTGGAAACTTGTCATTTTCAAGGGCAAGGGCTTCCTTAGAAGGATCTACCCCTGTAAGTCATGGTCTTTTCCCGTCTGTTTCATAGTTTTTAGTAATACATTTTATACCTTAATTGAGTCCTTATGAAGGGTCTGACATCCTCTAGCTTTTCCATTTCGAATTTTTAAATTTCATTTTCATGAATGTTTGGAAAAAATGGAATGCTCTTTTAGAAATTAGTTTTGGATTTGCTCATGTATTTACATAATACAAAGCTGTTAGAATTTTGAACATTAATTAATATGGGTTTTGTAATTTTAACCAAATTGTTCTGATAAATAGTAGATGTTGAGGGTATCATTAATGTAATAATTTAATGGATATAGATGGTAAATTAAGATGGTCGTGGTAATTTTTCTATGTCCATATTATGATATTATCGCATGCGACGTTGAGTGTTTAAAAATTAGTTAATGTACACTATTAATGCTTCATGATAATGGATTGAAGTATTTTATTAATACTACAACAAGATGGTAAAATGCAGAATATGTTGACAATCAGAGATATATTTATGAAACTGGTTGGCATTTGTGTTTGAATGTGCATGCCTTACTTGGAAATTGTAGTCTTCCTTTTTAAATTGATTTGACTCATCTTTTAGAACTGATAAAAACATCGTTGCACAGTGTTGTTGATGGATAAATGATTCCATTGAGCATATGGGGAGCCATCTCTGTAGTTTGGTCATGCAATTCAAATATCTTCACTAATTTAAGTCAATATTTTTTAGCTTTCTCTTCTCTTGGTTGTTAGATTGTCAGATTCCTGGTTTTGGGATATAATTGAAATTATCAGATGAGGAAAGAAAATAGTTAGTATATTGTACATGTGTGTGTGTACATGGTGTACATGCCTTCTTGCTGACTTTATCTGAATAGTCTAGATATCTATAGGGTTTAGGATGTAGGGGAGCGTCAAGGTTGATAAATGAGGTTACAGAAGGAACAAGAGTGGAAGTATATATGCCTATTAGTTCCTGAAATTATATGCTTAACCAGCTTACAAGCAATGAAATGAACCAGAACTTTCCTGTGAAATATTATTGGAGAAATTCAGTGTGGCAAAATAAAATCAATTTGAACCATCTATAGAAAATTTTGATTCGGTGATTTTCCATTATTTTTGTCATGATATTAGCTTTTGAACAATTTCTTGTGATTAAAATTCTTGGCAAGCTGGAGTTGGTTGTAAATGTACTTCTATTGTTTTTCTTTTCCTTTTTATTTTTCCTTTTCTTTTAAATGTTGGATATTTAGTTTTGTTAGTAAAGTACTGATAGTTGTACAATGCTGTAGGTTCCTGTTTATAAAGAACCATCCTTTACCATTCCTGGTACTCCAGGGATAGTGCAGCATGAAATTTTAAACAATAGAAGGCATGTTTTAACTAAGGTAATTCTGATGCTTTGCCCTATGTTTCATTCATCACTCTTTTTTGTCAAGGCCAATTGCTTCGCTGAATTCTAAAGTTTTTCTCATGGTGAAATTGATCGGTAAGCCCATGTGTGAAACTCGTATTTGATAGGATACCACTGGATCAGTCAAGCTGTGGGAGATCACCAGGGGTATTGTGGTCAAGGACTATGGACAGGTTGCAATTGTGTTTATTTATTATTATTATGGTTTTTTATATTCCATATCTGACTTCACCATGTTTGTTACCTGGCTCGGTACGAGATGGGTAGTCATGTTTGAATTGTAAAATGGAATGTTTTTGTTAGAAATATATTTCTTTTGGGTCATACTCTAGTAATTCGTTGCTGGACAAGTTTTTTGCTGTCTTCTTTTCAGGTCTCATTTGATGAGAAGAAAGAGGAACTGTTTGAGATGGTATAGATTGCTAATGCTAGTCCACAAAAGCAATGCATCTTCATCAGTCAAGAGTCTTATGTATTTTGCTTCTGACTTATTTCACTTCTTCAAGCAAGCATTCCCAGCATGGTTCACTGTGGATACGAGGCTTGGAAGCTTGTCTGTCCATTTGGATACACCACAATGCTTTTCTGCAGAAATGTATTCAGCTGACCTTAACATTGTTGGGAAACCTGAGGATGACAAGGTACACATCTGTTTGTCAAGATACGTTGGTGAACTACTATTATTTGCTGTTGTGTTTTCTAAGCCTTGTTTTAACATCATAAAACCAAATTTGAAGATGTATGGCATCTCTAGAAAGAATAATACTAGGGATCGTGAAAAAAATATCATGAAATGTATCATGAAGATTTTTCATCCGTTAATTAGTGTTCAGTGTTTTATTGTATGTGTAATCCAAAGGTAGAGAATATTTCATGATCATTTTCATGATATTTTTTTCATGATTCCTAGCATTACTCAGAAAGAAATATGATTTGAAAAAGTTTTGTAATTTATTGAGCTTATATAAAGTAATTGTATGAATAGAAAATGCTAAAGTTTAATCCAAGGCCAATCTAAATTCAATTAATCAAATTTTCTTTTCGAGTCATTTATATAGGGCAATCTAAATTAAAAAGTAATTGTTCAGAATTGATAATTAAGAATCTGACTTGTGTATGTGTTTGTGCTTCTATAAGATTCGCGTCGTCACAAGCCTCAAGTGGTGTTTGTCTCTCACACTGGGCAAGTCTCCGAATCTATAGCCTCAATGTTCCTTTAAAACAATGCAGTTGAACAATGACAACAAAGTAATAAAATACGATGCAGTTAATCACTTTATATCTCGTCTAACAGAATTAGGTTGCTGCAGATGTTTGAAGACCGTAATGGGTAGATAGAGTTCCATGTTCTTTCTATTCTCCTTTTTTTTTCTTTTTCTTGTTTTCTGTGCTGCTTGTCAAAAATATTGAGTTTGGATCTTTACAAAAGTGTATACATTTTTAATAACGGCATTGTCTAGAATGTTGTTGAAGAATGAGTTGTAACTTGGGTAGCAGATTTAGAAAAGTATAACGGAACAATAGTGTACCTGATACTCGATGGAACCTGAAGCAAGGTTGAGTCTTCCCTATGATCAAATTTGGTGGCTAGGGCTTAAAATTATAGGGTTTATGATTGAGAAGGTAAGATTAGGATTTACGGATGATACTGGGATTGATTTTTTGAGGTCTGGCAAATTTTGGAATGATACTAAGAAAACAGCTGGGACAAAAATTCTGGAGAAAAATGAAAGTGGGTTTTAGGGCCAAAACAATGTTGAGTAAATAGGTTTTGGAATTGAGGATAAAAGAGTTAGGTTCGGGACTGAAGGGTCTTAAGAAGGTTAGCTGTGGGTGTTGGATGATTCTGTTTACACACCACACTTTGTCTTAGTATACACCATTTGTGTCATTTAGATATTAACTTCTGAACAAAATGCAGATGTTTGGATACCTACATCCGAACAAAATACAAATGTTCTGATATCAACTATCGAACAGGGTTTTTGTTCAAAAGTTGATATTCGAACATTTTATTTTTGTTCGGAAGTTGATATCCAAACTATATAAATGGTGTATACTGAGATAAAATACGGCGTTCGAATAGAATTAGCTGTGGGTGTTACACGTGCAACGTAGAGACTGGACTGAATTAATAAAGGTGTAACTTGGGTCACAATGGGTGGGCTGAGCTGGTGCAATGGGCTTTTTTTGGGGTGCAATGGGCTTGAGTATACACAGTTTATAGTAGGGGGAAAATTGGGCTGGGTTTAGGTGAGTTTGCAGGTAATTGGGCTTGGGCTGGTTGGTGTTGGTTTCGGTATATGGTCAAGGGAACTGGGTCAGATGAAAGGTTAGAAGAGTTGATTGGGTTGATTCTTAAATCTAACCCTTCTCCTGCAATGTCCCCTATGAGGAACTCAGTTGACCGAAGCCTTTGGCTTCATTGGCAAAAACTCTAGTGAAGACACAACAAAATGAGCATTAAAGATTGGTGAAGATGATCTCCAGCAAACAATGGGAAGCCTACATTCACGTCACAGCAAGGTGGCATTGCTATTGATGACAGCAGGGCTTTGGCAATTGTGGATTTGCTCGAATCTAGTGATGATGATGTGAGGCAGTGGCCAATGATGGTGTTAGTTCTGGAGAGGGGCAATGGCCATGATTGATTTCCTGGAGAAGGTTTAATGCAATGGCAGGTGCTGTGTTGCGCTGCTTCTATGATGACGAAATCTGCAGATGAAGTAGGCAACTTTGACAGCTATGGTTGACAACAACTTTCTCTGGCGAGTGTCGCAGCAGCGAAGGAACTCGACAAAGTTGCAGTAATGACTGTCACCATCGACGACACAATGATGTTCCTGCTGGTGGTGGTTGTGTGTGATTGCAATCATCAGGGTGTCAAAAGTGGTATTTGTTTTTTTCCCAGATCAAATCTCCATAGTCGTAAGAAGGCAACCACTATGATCTGATTTAGATAATTGTGATGATGGTTTGAAGCAACTAGGTTGTATCAAGATGACAACCACGTTGTTCAAAAGTAAGCCATTAAGCTTATCCTCCTTTTGGGGAAGGAGAAGATAGATGATTTTGAGAATCACAATATGGCAGTGGCATGTCCAAAAAAGGTCATTCATAGAATGTTAAAGGCATTCTCTCCCCTAAATTCAATATAACTCTTCTGGCTGACTGAATCCAACTCTGATTTTCTCCTCTTCCTTTTCGATCTACTTTGGCTCTGATACCAAATTGATCTAGCACCAAAGAAGTAGAAGAGAGCAAAACAGGGAATCACAATTTCAAATCAATGCCTCCACCTCAATTAATCACTTATCAAATCATACTATTTCATAAGGCCTATTTATAGTCACAAGGACTATCTAATTAGGAAACCAAAAGGAATAGAGAAATAGCTAACAAAGAAATAAAATCCTGTTTAAACCATAATTTCTAATCATACTCATGGAGGCTTTATATTTTTATTTAGGTCTTTGATATTTTATTTGTTTATACCATAATTTCTAATCGTACTCATGGAGGCTTTATAATTTTATTTATTTATTCATTTATTGTTTAATCAAGATTCTAGTTATATTTCTATTTAGGTAGGGATTAAGTTTCCTATAATATTAGGATTTAGTTTCCTATTCAGAATTAGGTTTTTAGCCCTATAAGTATTAGGTCTCTGCATTGTAATAATAGTTAGCTTTTGGATTAATGAGATATGGAGTGTTTGAGGTTGTGGCTGTTTGTGTTAGGGCTATGGCCCTTTTCTTCGTCTTCATCCTCATCTCTCTTCTTCTTCCCTGCAACATTCTACATCAAAATTATTTTTTCCTCAGTGGATAGAGATAATATGTTTTCATTTCATGAAATGTGGTGAGCTTAAAAGAATACTGACTCAAAAGCTTCATCTTGGCCTTTGGCTAATGAAATGATTGCATCTTCCCCCGTTGGATGGTTAATTGAAGATGGCCTAATGATTACCAATAGGATCTGATGACTTGGAAGCTGCATAATGTTGACTTTCTGTATGTTTAATTGTATCAAATTGATTTATTGCATTGATCTTATGTAATTCTGCAGGTTAATTTGGCTCGTGAAACTCTGAAGGGGCTGTTGGCTCATTGGTTAACCAGAAGGAGGCAGAGATTTGGATCCCAAGTTTCAGCCAATGGAGAAGTTTCATCTGGCAAGGATATCTCTGCTAGGAGTCATACCCTTTCAAGAATTGAGGTAGATGGTAATGCTGAAAATGATTCTATGGTTTATCCTCCGTTTGAATTTTCAACAGCTTCCTCTCCTTCCATTATCACTGAGGGCTCTCAAGGTGGTCCATGGAGAAAGAAAATTACCGACTTAGATGGAACTGAAGATGAGAAGGATTTTCCTTGGTGGTGTCTGGATTGTGTGTTGAATAATCGCCTGCCTCCCCGGGAAAATACAAAGTAAACATCTGGCATTATTGCATTATAATTACATAATTTGCCTTGATCTGCAAAAAAACTTGGCATATGAGGACCTCTGCTTTTCATATATGATACGTCTTTATGAAAGCCTTCTTGCTTTTCAAGCATTGCAAAACGTTTCTTGAAGGCATTCTCACAGGTTTTCTTGGATCATAAATTTATTAGTTGTTTCCTGTTGGGGGAAGGTTTTAGTTAGGAACTGTTTCACACCTTCACACTAGAGAAACACCTTCACTCTAATGAGCTGAAGTAAGGCGAGTAAGGCCGCCACCTCGGGCCCCAAAATAATTTCGATCTTAAGTTATGTTTGGTTAATTATTTTGGTCTTAAGTTATATTTGGTTCATTAAAATAAAGTTAAATAGAGTAATCATTCCATCATAATGTCCGTTTTCACGTTTGATTTACTAAAAAAGATTACAAATGAAATCATCATTTACCATTTTGAGGGAATAGTAATTTTATGACTAAGAAATGACCATTCCATTAAATTCAATTTCATTTTAGTGAACCAAACACTGGATTATAGTATTAGTAGTTTAAAACAAACAATTTTGGTGAATTATTTAAAAATAATAGATGGTTGCTTGCCAAATGTTTGAATTATTTATAGAATATTGTTTGACTATACGAGTTACAATTGCTTCTGGAAAAATATTTTCTTTTAAAGTTGAAGTTAATCAAATTTTACAATTTAATTTACTATGTAAGGAAAAAGTGAATAAATTAATAGTGTTAATAATTGAAAAATGTTCAAAATTTATCTCAATAATTATGATTTACATTAATAATTATGTGTACAATATGCAACAAATTTATAGAAGGTACAAGCAAAAAATAAAAATAAATTGAAGATTATTACTATTTTACCAATATATATATATATATATTTATTTGCATGGTTCTGTGGACAGATCTAGCTTTCCTCGAGTGCAGAAGTTATAACTTCTTAATAAAGTTAGTATCAGCATACTGCTAAAAGCATTTAGTTGCAAACTACTTTTTGTAGCACTGACCAGTTTTAGTATGTTCTTCATTTGAATTTACTCTAATTTCTGCAGATGCAGCTTTTATTTACATCCATGTGAGGGTTCAGCTGTCCAGATTCTCACTCAAGGGAAACTGAGTGCGCCTCGTATATTGAGAATGTATAAAGTAAGATTTTGTTTGGTTTTGCTGGTGTTTTCATAAAATGTAAAGCTTTTTTGCTTCGTCTACATGGAGGACAAATGGCTGTAGAAAGAGATACATAAGCTAATTATTATTGTTTCGACATTGACTACGAGCTTACATTGGCTCGTTTTATCTTTTTTTGGGCATAATTTTGGAACCAAGTTCTGTGCAGTCCACACACCCAATACCTGCATGGCAAATCCCCATATTGCATGGGGTTCAATTTGTGGACTTTTAAGCTTAAATTTTTGCACTTATTAACAACAGATGCGGGGTAAACATTCAAGTATAAATTAGCTCTTCTGATTTGTTTCACAGGTTATTAACTACGTTGTAGAAAAGATGGTTCTCGACAAACCATTGGATAACACTGATGGAACTTTTGCTCCTGGACTGCCAGGAGGGCAGTTACAGCATCCAGCTATTGGAGGAGATGGTTCTTTCCGGTCTGGGTTAAAGCCTTGGCAAAAGATTAAGCCTTCTATAGAAATCTTGTGTAATAACCAGGCAAGTCAATATCTTATATTGGATGTGAAATTAGCCAATCTGATAGCTGCTTCAATGGCTGCTATAGTTATAATGAAGATTGAGAAAATAGCTCCTTTTTCAAATGGACATACAGTGAACGTGTGCTACTCTATTAAGCAGTCCTTTTATGGATTAGTGTAAACAAGTCAAATGTAAGAAGCATGGACATGGATATAGAAGTGAGACTCACTGATTTCCACAAAAAAAAAAAGGATTTAGACATGGTGGGGATATGGAAAAATTATATTTTTTATATATTTTTTTAATTTTCTCATGTGTATGAATATTAAATCCACAAACAACTAAAAATAATGAAAAATTAACGTTAATTTTACATGGAAAAAAGCACTCAATCTACAATTTAAACTTTATTCAATATAGAAAATACTATTTTATCATTCCGAAACCATGGCATCAGAGGTATTTGCCTTGGTTGCTCTTTTGAGTAGTTTGTTGCTTCAATTTTTATTTTTTATTTTTAAAATGAGGTCTGATGCATGTGTTTTATGTGATCTCCATTCTGCTGCATTCATTTGCTATTTCAGAATCTTCCTGTATAGTCTACATGAATCATGCATTGCACTGCCAAACTCTTCCATATCTTTTTAGGGGGAGTTCATTTCTTTCATTCTAATCAATACATAGATGAAGAGAATTACAGGAGAATAAGAGCATCTGCATGTTTTCCTTCATCTAACTTGAATTTTCCTTATGTTTGTCATCATTGATTATTCATTGCATGAAAAAATTCTCATCTCTGAGCTGAACACTGAACAGTGTAGTAATACATTTAACTTGCTTTTCTTTGGCAAATTCTTGTGCAGTTGTATTATTTGACACATTCTTTTATGCATGGAAGTCACATGTTTTAATTATTTTTCTTTAATGTGCTGAACTTCTTTCACTATGGGGATTTCATGATCTTGCATGGTCCAATTCTGGGGTTTTTTCATGAGTTCAAATCTGGTACTATGTGGTTTACTGACGTCTGGTTCTTTTCCAGGTTTTACTCCCTGACATGAGCCTAGCAACAGTCCGGGCTTATATATGGAAAAAATCAGAGGACCTTGTCCTCAACTACCGAGTGGTGCAGGGCAGGTGACACAGTGGACATCCGGGGGGTGAGTACTGGCCTATGTTCATGTGTGTAGTTTATTTTTGGCGTTTTTTTGGTTGTCTATAAACAATTTTGTAGCGCTAAAGTTTATTTTGGTAGACCATAAATGATGCATTCCTGATCATTCACTTTGTCTTTCTTTGAGTTTATCCTTACTGTTTTTTAGTGTCACTGCTTACATGGAAGGATGTAGTACTTCATTTTCTTCTAAGTGATTGTTTCAAAAGGAATGGACCAATACAAACATTTATCATGGCAGTGAAGTGACACTATGCCTCATCCCTTTTCTTTCTTCTTTTCTTTTGTGTGAAAGAAAAGGGACACAGCATTTTCATTTGTTAGAAAAATTATGCCAAATTGGTGTCTTATTTTTTCAAGACTAGAAAATCTAAAAATGTACCCTTGACTTGGGTTCCATGTCACCTCTTCTGTAGTTTGTCATTTTTGTTACTTAAGATTGCTACTTTCATATTCTCATACCTAAGCCAAAAATTGAAGAGGTGGGATAAGACCTAGAGGTGTATTGTCAAGCATAAAAGTTAGTTTAAAGCATAAATTCCAATCTTGGCACTAGCAGTTATGTTATTATAAGCAGTGAACTATTAGTTGTGTTTTCAGTAATATTTTCTTGTTTTTGATATTTGTAGAGTTGAACCCAGGCCTATGGTAATGAAGACTTTGTGCTTTGTGTAGATAACTTGTGAGTGGTTGGTTCTTCAAGAGGTGCTTGTGTTGATCAGATCTTTTTTACATTTTCCTTGTAAATCTGGATAGCCAATCAAATGCTAGAATCCAGGTAGCAGTTTGCCAGTTGAACAGTTGGTATAGGAATTTTGAGCTGTCTAGCTAACATGCAAGCTTTTACAAGATATTTGCTAAATTATTATGGGCCAAGTTTGCACGTGGCAATAGAAGGTTTTTGATTCCGGTGGTGTAAGAAGCTTCCTGAGGGGAGCTGTAGTATAGGTATGATGTCGAAAGCTTCATAAAAATTTGTATTGTTGTGGGGTACAATACCTAGCAAAAACCACACTGCTATGGAAGTGATTATTTTTCCCTGGAAATAATACATTTACTGTTTCGGTTAACCTACTAGTATGATATATATATATTTTTTCTTTACGATGCTTACTTTTGTACATGTTATCTCGTTTTGAGAGGTTCAACTAATTATTGAAGTTTTGTTTGCTGCAAAGCATCAGTGATAGTAGTCATTGTGTTGGCCTTTTGTATACCGCTCTTTAGTTCCATTTGCAGTGTGGTACAAAATTCATGGTCTGTGAAGTGTGCTGCTATGGGAGTATGTATATGATCCTACCACATGACATAATATGGCAAATCTGTTATAAAGAGTGCTACTTTGGTAATGCATTTACATGGCTTCGATTTAATTTTCAAGATGTTGACAATTTTCTGATTCTGAAAACATTTATGCGGATTTGTTGTATTATAATCATTTGAACTTTATGTCAAAATATTTCTCCAAACTGCCTGTGAATCTTAATTGTTTGGATGATTATGGTTTGTGTTGTGAACACCATCTGCTAATTACCGTGCCCATGGTGTGGACTAATTGGATTCAGGGTATGGCTTAAGCCTATTTTGATAGGTATTTTTTAAAAAAGCTATAAATTGGTTTTAAGATAAAAATAATGTTGAATTAACTCAAGTTCAAAGATTTGAAGTAGTTTAATATAAAATGAACCAATCCATGAAATAAGGCATTTTTGTTTTTGATATTCCCCTTGTACATGTAGGTACAAGTTTCAAATTTTATAAAACAATGAAAGCAAATGAAATTGGGAGGGATCTTTTATTGTTATCAAATATATATATATATATATATTTTGGAAGAAGTCTTGCAAAGTTTGACAATTAAAATGATGCCTTTGTGGTGGAATACTTGTTTTGTTTGAAGGACATGGAAATTCCATTTGTGATATTTCTTCAAATTACCTTCAAAGATGCTTCTCAAAAGTTTTTTTTTTTTTTTAATGGATTAATCATGTTTTTAGTCTCTAAAATATGCAATTTGTCTCATTTTGATTCTCAATATTTAAATTATGTCAATTTATATTACTTATATATATATAAGTGTTTTAATTTGATTCTTAACCTAAAGTATTAGAGTAGAAGTAAATGTGAAAACTCAATTAAAAAGGTTAGATTTTTAAAATATGCAATATGTGTCATTTTTATCTCCAATGTTCAACTTATATCAATTTAATTTTCAATGTATAAGAAATGTTTCAATTTGACCCAACCTAATTTTGTTTCTGTTTAATGGGTTAAACATGAAAAATCATTAATAAATATAAGAAGAAAAGAACCAACTTATCTATACTATATATTATGGAAAATGAGGTTTTTAACCCCAAACCTTGTAAGAGCTCCAATCTCCCAATTTAAATTTCTTGATTTTTTTATTAAAAAAAAAAAAACGTAAGCATTTATTAACTTCTCCTAACCCCCAAGTCTTATCCTCATAATAACACTTTAATGCATTAAGAATAAGCATAAAAAAAATTCTTTGAAATCCAACGCATGAATTTATTGAAAAGTCACAACACATATGATTATTATCGCTCATAATAACACTTTAATGCATTAAAAACACGTATAAAAAAAAATTTTGAAAAATTCAACACATATGATTATTATCAAAATATTAAACTTCAATATAATATAATAAAAAAAAAGACATTTAATTCCTTGAAAAGTCTACACATGATTATTATCAAAATATTAAACTTTAATATAATATAAAAAAGAAAAAAAAAAGACATTTAAAAAGAAAAAAGAAAAAAAGAAGACATTTAAAAATCACAATTCACATATATAGATAATTGTAAATACAATCCGTACATAGCACGGGTGATATGTTAGTATATGTTACTTGTATATCAAAATATATTGGATGGTGCACTGCATGAAATAGCATTTTTCAAAGAAAAATGGCTCCATAACACAACACTTCATCGGTAACTTTTTCTTTTTTGGTGATGAACATGGCCAAAAATCATCACTTTTTGGCATGAGAGCTAAAATTTTCAAATGTCATATCTCTTGCTGGCGACAATCCTCGAAAGATGTTGACTATTATGAGCGCTCCAATTACACTGCACAAACATTAAAATGATCCATAAGTAATTTTTTCCCCTTCATTCTGTTTTAGAGCCTTGAAAAATTAAAAGAACAAAAATGATACAGAAAATGCATTTGGCTTTATGAAAACGGTCCCATTGGCATGAAACAGAATTGTACTATTGTTTGGGTTCTCCAAAAGCAGATAAGCAAAGCAGTATGAAAATAATTGTGTTTTTACACTTCCTATCATTTTTTTTTTAAAAAAAAAATTCCGAGAAGATGAAAAATAAACACAAAAAAAAAAAAAGAAGTGAAAACAAGACCAAACAGGACTTCATAACGAGACTTCACTACATCTTAACGGCTCTACTTCATTATGTTCACACTAGTGTCCAGAATTATATCTCGAAAAATAAAATGAAAAACACACCAGGATGCTTCTCTTGAATCAATTGAGTGTGTTTGTTACCTAGTCTCCCTCATGTTTCAGTTGATGACTTATATTTTGGCTCGATGCCTTTCTTTCCTTGGATTGTCCCCATATCACAGTGTAAAATCCAATAGCTATAATGGCTGCTCCAATTAAACTGCACAAAAAAATAAAACCACCAATAAATGGAATAAATAAAATAATTATTTATTTTAATGGCAACAATTCAGTTAAGCACTACATTGTAAAAATAAATAATATACACATTTTACATCAGATAACCTTGAATAAACTAATCTCAATTGCAGCCAATTGTCTTAAATAAATTGAGCATCCTAAACTTAATTGTCCAAGTTTGAGCTGATAACTTAGCTATTACATCTCAATTTTAAATCCAAATAATTCTAAAATTCAAGTTATGAAATTCAGTTTTGCTCTCCTGTATTGTTTTTTCCTTCACTCCTTTTCAAGTAATCATATCTTTGAGGAAAGATGAAGCCAACATCATAGTGACACTATATATGTAGAAGAATAGGATAATACCTGCCAAGATGAAGTTTATCGTTAAGGAACACAATTCCTGCAATCACAGCAATGACCATTCCCAAGGGCTTAAACATGGCAACATAGAGAGGACCCTTCTCGTACAAGCACCAAGTAACAATATTGTAGCGGAGCACAATCCCAAATATTGCCTAAAGAAAATTAAATTAGTACACACAAAAAAGTGAGCATTATTAACAATAATGCTTAGGGAGGGAGGGGTGAAGTATGCAAGAAGTATACTAGCTCTACATCTAAATATGAATGCATAAATTCCACAAATTTAAAAAATATTCAATGATGAAAGATTCGCAATTGAGTGCAAAAAATACGGTGTAGACAATAAAACACATTTCAGCTCATCAAAATGAAACCAGTACCCCTTCAAAGCATCTTATATTCCTCTCCCACCAAACAACAAGACTACACACAAAACTAATCACATAAAAGAATCTTAGCCATACATATCAGATGGTGGGGCCCGTCATAAAAGATACAGATTCTCTTAAATTGCTCCATCTATGTTTTATGTGATTGGTTGTGTGTCCATGTACTTATTACCCACCAAATACACCACATTAAGTACAACAGGGCCACTCCCACATTTTCCTTTCACTCCTAACACAACCTTTACTCCAAATAATGAAGAACTCCATTGTTGCTGGCATCAGCCAAGCAACCTTGAGAAGAGAGAAAGAATGCCTCCACAGCTCTGTGGCAAAGTCTAGATGCTACCTGTCCCCTTGTACATGTAACAACAATCATCAAAGAGTTTCCCCCTCGCATTTTAACATATAAATTGTCCCAATAGCATTCCAAATGGCCATTGAAGCAAAAGATGCAACCTTCATGGAATCCTTGGAATGCCAAATCCCTTTACAATGAAATTGACAACACCACCAAAACTTAGGTGCAGTTTGGGGGAGGATGGTTTGTTAGCTTTTTGGCTTATTTGGCTAAATAAACCAAAAAGCTCAAAGTTTGTTTGTCATCAGCTAAGACAGTCAAAGCCACTCAACTTCACAAAGGCATCAGCTTTTTTAAATTCTACAAAAAAGTCAAAAAAGCAAAAAAAGCCACTGAAAAGGCCAACCCCAAACAGCCATTTAGTTCCTTGTACCAAGAATGTGCAGAGAATATTCCATAATAGAAACCTCCCCACCCCTGCGTGAGGGTGCAGAACAGTAATACCGTATGGCGTTTCCTGAAATAACTCCATAGACTCCACTTCCTAACCCAAGTCCCTTCTAAACAGAAGCTCCCACTCTGTAAAATGGATATAATCTGCAACCACAATACTACATACCGAGAAAAATTACCTAGAATAGTACATCTATGGACCACAATCATTCTGGATGTGGCTCACATCCCACTAACTTTAAATCTACACCATCAATCTCATTTTCAGAGTAACTTTCAGGGCAAACTTTCACGGTACATAGCAATTTTCAATCTGCCACTGCATCTTCTGAGTTTACAGCAATCCTGAACAATAGAAATATCAACCTCAATAGCCGGTAACCATCAAGCAATATCCCAAAATCTACCCTATGCCCAACCCCAAAAAAAACCTTATGTGCTTTGAAAGATCTCCCCATCCATTTTAAAAAAACCTTATGTCCAATAACATTAGACCTCAAGCCCACCATCCCGTGCCAAACCATATATACCCAACACCACTTTTTTTGCATAAGCCCTCAGATTTCACTGTAGACCTCCATAACCATTTGCCTAAGAGAGCTTTGTCGAAGATCCCCAATCCCCAACTTCTTAACACTGAATCAATGTTCATTAATTAGATAGTAAGCCACAGCTTTTTGAATGAACATAAAAACGTAAAAATCATAAGATTAGATATAAACATATCAAAATAAAAAGGAAAGACAAATATAAAGTAACCGAAAACGATTTTCAAACAGAATGGAAGAAACAAACAGAAAAGCTGGGTTTGTAGTTTCCTTACTGAATACACAACAGCAATCATTGCAATCCCAGGGCGCAATGTCCAAGCACTTGGATTTCTTTCTACAATGGAAGAGACAATTGCACATTGCATGGTCCCAAACAACATGAAGAAAAAGACTACAGTCACTTTTTCTGGATATTGCTTCACTGTTGCTGTCTGGGAAAGAGAAGTTAAAAATCAGTCTATTTTGTCATAAAATCTGGATCTGAATATTCAAACATAAGAGAAGTTAAAAATCAGTCTATTTTGTCATAAAATCTGGATCTGAATATTCAAACATAGTAAGCACCATTCTCTCCCATGATATGTTTTATTGCAAGAGAGAGAGAGAGACTAGTTTACAAAATCTCTCCTCTAGATTGAAGACTTCACACAAAAAAAAAAAAAAAAATTGAGAAATAAAATAAAAGAAACCTAGCAGTAAGAAAATAAAATGGCTCTGAGTATGATAACAATTTTTTAAGTTGGTTGGACCGATGAAGTCATTAAGAACTTCTTTTCTAAATTTTCTACCTCCAGAATTTCATCAACTTACCTTGATTCTCTTGCATCTACTGCTAAATCGATTGATTCTAATAGAGTTGTGACGATCATCCAATATTCATCCCTGTTATGGTGACGGTATGAACAGTGGAGTTGAGTATCGTGAGCCTCCACAAATTGCAAATGGAGCAATGCAAAAAGAACAGTGGATTTCTATGCTAAGAATGAACATCTCCATACAGTCAAATGAACATTCTAACTGAAACAACACGGTTAAGGGAGGACCAAAGGAGGATCTGTTGGTTCTGCTTTAAAAACAGCTCCCAAGTCAGGTTCATAAGGTTGATGGAGTTCATCTTCCACCTACAGGGGGGCAGGATATCTATTTTGGCTGTAGCACTAGTTATGACAATAGAGCCAAGCATCTCTAACCTTGTCCAGCTTTAGTGAGAGATCCAGAGACTTTGCTTCCACGTATTGTGCATGGTTATCAAAATCGCAAACCATAATATAGGATCTTACAATCCGACGATCCCAAATTGCCAAAACAATTGAAATCATTATAAAATCGGTATTATAGCAGAATCACAAGTGCGATTGTAGTAAAACCACAGCTAGGATCGTTGGGCTTGAGATTTTTCACCTTATTTGTAATATGCATCATCCTTATTGTTAATTTTACCTTATTTTTTTTTATAGAAAGTAGAATCTCATGATTGTCGATCCAATCCTACGATCTGATCCGCAGTCGAATCCTAGAATTTGAGGCAGTTGAAAAAGTGTGCAAAGACATGCAACTATGGTTGAAGAAGAGGGAGTTGAACACAAGTATGAACCTGATTACGAAACAAATTCAGCTACAATAGCTGCTACAACAAACAAAAAGCTGCAAGCAAAAAGTGGGAACGGGTAGGTTGTGGGTCCAAAGGTGGTTGGCAGGGTATGGATGACTATATGTCAAGCCAGAGGGCAGGTACAATGCATGAGTCAGCATTTGAAGTAGAAAATTTAAAAGATGTTAAAATTTGAAGCAAGGAAAGAACTCCTTTAAGGGAGATCATCGGCTGTTGAGAAGCCACATCAGCATTGTATGGTGCCAGATTTTCTATTTTGTTGATAAGTAAAAAGTGTTGCATTAAACATCACCAAAAGGGGGAGCAACCTGTATACACGATGTATACCAACCAAAAGAACAAAACTGAAAGCAAAACTAAAGACAAAAACCTCCTATATATCTACAGAGAGATACAGATCCCTCAAAAAATCAACGAAGGAGGATAAGCATAAAGGAAAATCTCCTCTAAGCCAAAAAAACAAGAAAGCCAAAAAAGTACCCTTTAAAACAGAAAGCTATCCAGAAAAGATCTAAAATTCCTTTCCCTCCAAATGCACCACATAATGCATAATGGAGCCACATCCCACGTTACCCTCTTGTCTCTTCTCCGGCAACCACTCTTCCAACAGATAAACAAATCCTTAACTTACCATGGCATACCCAGGTGACACCAAAAGCAAAAGACACCAAACTCCAAATATTTGAAACAATTGTACAATGCAATAAGAGCTGGTTCATGGACTCAGCTCCTTTCTAATGCAGCACCAATCTAGCAAGAACTTGCCTCACTTCAAGATTATCAACAGTGAGAATAACCTCCTTAATCACTGTCCAAGCAAAGAAAATTATCGTAGGAGGGGCCATCGAATACCACACTGCCTTCTATGAGATTCCCCCCACCACCCCAAGAAGCTTCCTTTAGAAAGAGGCCCCCAAAAATCTACATCAGAAGTACTATCCCAACCCAGAGAATCCTCCGTCCCAGCATTGAATGATAAAAATTCCAATAGCAGCCCTAGCAAATGCGCCACAAACTCCACCTCCCAGTCATAAAGGACTCTCTTAAAAACCTGATGCCATACCTGTCACGACCCGAACCCGCTCCTATGGGTTAAGGCCATAACCGGCCAGTAATCACTAGATTACCTACGGCCTCAAACCAATAAAACAAAACTCATCAGAGTAAAGGGGCCAAACGGAAGCAAATTTAAAACTTTGTCCGTAGAGCTGTACTTATATGCACACCATAACATTCTAAACATTTATATGTTAATAACTCACATCAAAACATGTACTAACACAGAACACTGTACATACGGGATCATACAAGTTTAAGTTAGTCGAACCCAAGACTTATATACAAAAGTAGTCCAATGTTTTCGCCAACATAACAAAACTATGAACGAAGGACAAAGGCGAAGACAGTCTCATGCATGAGACGTGTGGGCTGACTCCTCAAAACTTTGACTGTTTCTCACAATTTCACCGAGGCTAGTTCTGGACGTCCCTTAGCTCACCTACATGTACATGAATGAGCGTGAGCGAAAGCCCAGTGAATAATATCGAATAAGGAAGATACATAAGCAATCTTTGAAACAGTTACAACAAACGGCCTTTGGCCCAATCACTTCTATCAATCGGCCTTCGGCCCAATCATTTATGCCAATCGGCCTTCGGCCCAATCATTCATGTCAATCGGCCTCCGGCCCAATCATTTATATCAATCGGCCTTCGGCCCAACCATTTATATCAATCGGCCTTCGGCCCAATCATTTATATCAATCGGCCTTCGGCCCAATCATTCATGTCAATCGGCCTCCAGCCCAATCATTTATATCAATCGTTGTCCACTATTCAAATTAATGAACTTACAAACTTACATAGAAGTAAACAATTGGACAATAACATATCTCAAATATCTTGTTAAGACATTACTCACAGTGATCGGTTGGTTGGTTTGCCCTGGAGCTCGACCCTACACATTCCATGAACACAAAAGGGTCACAAACAATTCAATCCGTTCTAAATTCACATTTTCCTCTTGAGGCTTCATTCTTATCTCTTTAACTCAATTACAATGCTCAATGTATGCCTAAGAGTACTTAAAAGTAAAAGAGAACTGAAAACGAAACACAGAATGTCTTTTCAAAATTTCAGAAAACAGGGTCCCCGCTCGAGCGTGGACTTCCCCGCTCAAGCGGACCCATGAGGTCTGCAAAAGTATTGGTTACATCAATTTCACGCTCGAGCGCGAACTCGGCCGCTCAAGCTGAAGATCTGTCTACATAGCTCCCCGCTCGAGCGTGAACTTCCCTGCTCGAGCGGAAGCCATGTCTGCAAAATATGCTGGGAGCTCGTATTTCACGCTCGAGCGGCGGTTTCCCCGCTCGAGCGGACATCAAGAATTCTGGGTTTTCCAGAATTTGTTCTTAAGCTGAATTCGACCTCCAAAGGTTCTAAACTCATAATTTTTGGCTTAAACTTCATATATACATGTACTAACATGGTACAAACACCAAATTACAACACAATGGAGCTCAATTTCACAAATTAATCACATGAATGTCCCAATCTACACCAAATTTACTTTTAACATAACAATTTCATACATTCAAGCTCATACATCTTATGAATGGTATATGCATGTGAGATATGGCTTCCATTTCAACTCAAATCGTACAAATGGTGGTCACAAGCATGGATTCTAGCCACAATTTTACATGGATCATATTTTTCATGCTCAATTATGCAAATTCATGGTTATCATGCACATGCATGCATTCCATGACTTCAAATACAACAAAATCAACCCAATTTCCTTATGATCAAACTAACTCATGTTCTTCACCATTAATCAAACTTGAATTCACAATTTACAAACAAAAATCCATGAGTCATTTATTGGTTACTCACCTAGGAGCCTTGATTCTCACAATTGTGGCCAAGTCTTGCACCTAGCCTTCCCAATTCACAAATTATGAGCCTAAATACACCAAGATGCCTCATTTCCCTCTCAAGGTCGGCTCTCTCTCTTTTCTAAGACACAAATCCTGATTTTTGAGCTCAAGTGAGTGAATTGGGTGTAGTGCCTTTCCTTACATAAGTCCCACTGATTCCAATTTATTAATATAAAACAATTGGGCACTTAATTCATTAATTTAATCTGATTAATTTGATTCAAATCAATTTCTAATTAAACTTCACCGTAGACTTTAAAAATTACGCCAATCACAATGGCGCAATCAATTTCGGGTTCTTTGGCCGATAAGGTCTTCAATTTAATTTCCAAAGCAGATAATCAAACAGATATTCCTACGGTGAACAGATAGAAATTCAAAACAACATACTTTCACATAATGGCACACAAAATCACATTAAACACATAATCGTATTCATATTAAGGACCAATTAGCACAAAACGGAACAGGGTTATCACAGTCTTCCCCCTTTAGGAAGTTTGGTCCCTCAAACTTATTTTACCTTCGTTAGGAAACAAATGTGGATAGCGTAGTCGCATTTCCTCTTCTTTTTCCCATGTAGCATCCATCCCATAGTGTTCTTTCCATTCCACTTTCACCATTGGAATGGACTTGCTTCTCAACTGTTTCACTTGCCGGTCGACGATTCGCTCCAGCCATTCGGCGTACTCCATATTTTCATCAATAACTACCCGGTGATAATCAATCACATGAAACGGGTCTCGGAGGTAACCCCTCAACATCGACACATGAAACACATTATGGATTTGTTCGAATCCCGGTGGCAAAGCAACTCTATAGGCAACTGGGTCAAGCCTTTCCAGAATCTGAAACGGCCCAATGTAACGGGGCGACAACTTGCCCTTTTTTCCAAACCTGACTTGGCCTTTCATTGGGGACACACGAATAAACACGTGGTCACCGACCTCGTACTCAAGAGGTCTTCTTCGAAAGTCTGCACAGTTCTTTTGTCGGTCCTGAGCTGTTTTGAGCCTTTGTCGAATAGTTTTAATTTTCTCAGAAGTATCTTGCACAATTTCAGGCCCAAGTAAAGCTCTATCCCCGACCTCTGTCCAACAAATTGGTGATCTACACCGCCTACCATACAAAGCCTCGTATGGTGCCATACCGATGCTGGAGTGGAAGCTGTTATTGTATGCAAATTCTACAAGTGGCAAATAGTCTTCCCAACTCCCCTGAAAATCTAAAGCACACATTCGAAGCATATCTTCTAAAGTCTGTATTGTTCGTTCTGATTGCCCATCTGTCTGTGGGTGGAATGCAGTACTGAACCTTAGTTCTGTCCCTATAGCTTCCTGCAAACTTTTCCACAATCTAGATACAAATTTCGGATCTCTATCCGACACAATAGATACCGGAACTCTGTGTAAACGGACAATCTCATCAACATATATGGTAGCTAGTCTATAAGCATTAAACGTAGTTCTAACAGGTAGAAAATGTGCAGATTTAGTCAGTCTATCAACTACAACCCAAATAGAATCCATACCTTGAGGAGTCCAAGGTAGGCCAACAACGAAATCCATAGTCACATGTTCCCACTTCCATTTAGGAATAGGGAGAGGTTGCAGTAGACCGCCTGGTTTCTGATGTTCAGCTTTAACTTGCTGACACTGAAGACATTTGGACACATATTCTGCAATCTCCTTTTTCATTTTAGGCCACCAATAGGTTTATTTCAAATCCCGATACATTTTATTATTGCCCGGATGTATAGCAAACATTGATTTGTGGGCTTCATCTAAAATCCTCTTTTTCAGTTCCGGTACATCTGGGACACACATTCGGTTTCGGAACTTTAACATTTCATTTTCAATACTAAACTCTGCCTTCGGACTTGCCTCAAATTCATCAATCACCTTCTTGAGGAATTCATCCTCTTTCTGTTTCCGTCCGTTTTCATCAATGATTGCCGGTTCGGCTGTAATAGCGGCTATCAATCCACCCTGTTCACACATTACCACTTCAATTTCAGACTTCTCAAAATCTTGCAAGATCTCTTTCTGTTCAGTAAGCAAACAAGCCATACTCCCCGTTGGTTTTCTGCTCAAAGCGTCAGCAACTGTGTTAGCTTTCCCGGGGTGATACTGAATCTCTAAATCATAATCCTTTATCAATTCCAGCCATCTCCTCTGTCGCATATTAAACTCCTTCTGCGTGAAGAAGTATTTCAGACTTTTGTGATCCGTGTAGACTTCACACTTTGCCCTGTACAAATAATGCCGCCAGATTTTCGGGTTCTTTGGCCGATAAGGCCTTCAATTTAATTTCCAAAGCAGATAATCAAACAGATATTCCTACGGTGATCAGATAGAAATTCAAAACCACATACTTTCACATAATGGCATACAAAATCACATTAAACACATAATCGTATTCATATTAAGGACCAATTAGTACAAAACAGAACAGGGTTACCACAATACGCATACCCCACCACTCTAATCCACACACCCATACTTATCAACTAATGCATCCGCATTCACAGCTACTCTAAACAAGTTGAGAAAAGCATCCCTTGAAAAGTCTATACCCACACCAAGCATCCTCCCAGAACTTTGATAGGTGACCATCTCCCACCTTGACATCCTATACTCCAAAAGGACCCCTGATACGCACCATCACCACTAGCCCTTACCACATCCATACATCCCAGCCAAAACCCTCCTCCAAAGATTCTCCCTCTCAAAGGAAAACCTCCACAACCATATATCCAAGAGAGCCTTGTTGAAGAGGACCAAATCCCTAATACCCACTCCATCACCTCCTATAGTCATTTTCAACACATACCAATCAACCTACTGGTTACTTATGTTCCTTCCCCAAGCCTCCCCAAAGAAAATCCCTCATTAGCTTCTCCAACCTTTTTAGCAACTGAAACAAAGACATAGTCAGTCAGCAAGCTAGACAACATACTCTTTATGAGGGTCACCCTACCCCCTTCAGCCTCTTCCAAGAGGCCAACCTCCTGGTGCCAGATAAAAAATGTTGAGTCATCTAATCCTTCTTCCTCCTCACTACAGGGGCACTTCATTGAGTTACAAGACAGAGGTTACTCATGGGAATTCACTTGTGTTTGAAACTAATCTATCACTATGCATCAATGAAAATGCAAGGGTAGCAAACAAGAGAGGAAGCACTGAGAGGGCCAGTATCAGTAACATGAAAAATTTCTAGAAATTATAAGAGTAACACACTCAGTCAACAGGAAGCCAGTCAAAGGAGACGAAAATTTAAATCTACCAGATATTACTCTTCTCAGTCAGCATTGAATGTAACTAAAGAACAGTATCACCAGTGCTTTGGTATCATCCAGTTTGGTACTCCTTAACTATTCTAAAGATTGAACACAAGAGATAGACTCATATAGAATGGATTATCCATACTAAGGGGGTGTTTGGGAAGAGCTTTTTTTGGGTTTTTTGGGCTAAAATCTACAAAAAGACAAAATAGGCTAAAATAGCCAATAAGACAAAATGTCACATCAAACCCATAATCATTTCACTTTTTCTCTCACAAACATCACATCCAACTACAAAAAAATCTAACCATCTTCCCAAACACAAATTTTAGCCTACTAAAATAGCCTACTAAAATAGCAACTTTCCAAATACCCACTAAATAAGATTATTTATCATGTGTGGTAAGTGCAAAACTAGTGAACCATTTGGTCTTTTAATGTCTATTTTGCCTGCTAGAGTTTGGAATGAAATGGGAGACAAAGTTTGGGGCAAGGACAAATTGGAAACTAGCAAGCCGAACTAGCCTGGCAATGCAAACTTCAAAGGGAAAAGGATTTTGACCCAAGTTAAAGAAGTTGTCATTTGTTGTAGCAGTCTAATACAATAGGACAAAGAAAAACCAAGGAACTTTATAAGGCCAAAGTAGGAATTGGGATGCTATTTTCTAGGTTATTTGACACAAGGTCAGGGCCAGAGCAATCAGGATGAGAAATGTCATGGATTTTATGATAATTTGGGTGCAAACATGCAAATAAGACTTGCATAGGCATAGTGCTGACTTGTCAACATGAGTGGGTGATGTGTGCGTGCGCTGAGGGGGATGCCTCTCTTGATATTGTAAATAACTCAAAATGTATTGGTCCACAAATTTCACATTACCTACTCCCTTCCCCAAACTATACATATACAACAATTTTAGACAACACTACTAGCAGGTGACATTTACTATTAATTTTGGCACTACCACAATACAACACATGCCACATTTCCAGTATACCAAGTCAAATAGATCGGCATAGAGCCTAAATGCAAAACCTTTCAGTTGATTTTTGGGTGAATTTTACCTGCAAAATGTTCCATGTGGCGGCAGAGCAGAAACCTATTGCAAGAAAAAAGCCTCCAAGAGCCCAGTTTGATCTTTGGGGCATAAAATCCTGAGAATGTAAGCTAGAATTGGATGTACCAGATATGATTGCCGGACCTTTGTAAAGAGTAATTATGAATGCTCCTGATACTGCCACTACGGTCCCCAAACATTTTGCTATACTGCTTGTGCTTCTCATATCTATCTTCTCCATCCTGTATACGGATTGCAACATTAATTGGAGAAACCGGAATTAACATACTTGCGCCAATAGATTAAAATAACAGTTCATATATCTATTCTTCTATTCTATTATATAAAGCACACAAGTCACTAGAATTGAAGGTTTGTCGTGCAATTTTTATGCCCAAAATAACCCCAACAACACTAGATTTTCCTAAATATTTATCTTTGGACCAAAAAGTAAAATCAACAAAGCAAAAAATGTTGTTCAGTTGGCCACTACACCCTTTCCACTCTGATTTTCAAATGCACACGTTAGTGTGCTTGCCCTTCTAGTATTTATTTATACATGTACATACAGTTGAGACAGAAAATTGCCAAAAACAATAAAAATAAAATAAAAACCCAATTAATATTATGATCAGTATCTGTATCTATCTATATCTATCTATATCTACATAATGAAGACAATTTCAAATGATTTAGCGTGTCCTGCTGGTCTGACCTGAAGATGATGGCAAGCAAGAACGTAAAAACCGGTACAAGGTTAGACAAAGCTGCAGCCAGAGCTGGAGAGCTGTACTTGAGGCCCAAATACCCAAACATCAAAAAGCCTCTCCTGATTCATTCATCAATTATCAGAGTAATAATAACAAATATGCCTTTTGTTATAAAAACAAACAAACAAACAAACAAACAAACAAACAAACAAACAGTAGATTTGAATCTTACCCAAATAAGCCAAGGAGGAAGAATCTACAAAGGAGGGCCAAAGTGAGAGGAGGGTGCTTCTTTCTATTACACAGAGATAGAAAATAATTAGTGGGTTAGTGACAAATGTGAAAGAAAATGAAGGAGGAATTGAAGAAGAAGAAAAAGGGTGGAAATGCATACAAGAAACCTGTAGGTACGGAAGATGAAAAATGGGAAAAGGAGAACAACGCCAAGGGAGTTGTAGAAGACGAAGTAAACGAAAGTGCTGATCCCTGTGTTTAAGGCTGCTTTGGCCAGCGTTATCATTCCCACCTCTCCCCATTCCACCAAAAACATTGCTGCAAATGGCGCTGCTTCCTTCATTCCACTCATCAACCCCATTTTTATTCTCTCTCTCTCTCAGATCATGAATTTGTGCGATTTTTTTGGGTTTAAGTGTTGTTGAGTTGAAACAAAAACACAGAGAGGCTTGACTTGAAAGAAAAAGAAAAAGAAACTGAAAGACTCGCTCGCTCGCGTGTGCTGCTTATGTAACTGTCTCATTTTCCGCACGATTTTTCTCGCCCGCTCTCACTTTCGGAGCATTTCCCTAAATAAGCCAAAATATTAATTCAATTCCCAAACTAAGTCTAGTTTTAAAAGAATTTTTTAAATAGGTTAAAACGTGGTTCACAATCACGATTTCAACGTCTGTGCGCTTGTCTCGCGTGAAATTTGGGAAGTCTTAAAATCGTAGTTACAAAACGCGCTTTTGATTAAGAAATCGCGGTTACAAACCGCGTTTTTAGTTATATTTTTTTTTCTTCTGAAAGCGTGGTTGTGAACCACGATTTTAACTTAAATTTTTTTTCTTTTGAAAACGTGGTTGTGAACCACGTTTTTTATCAAAAAAATTTTTCTTCTGAAAGCATGGTTGTGAACCACGCTTTCAATACACAAATGATATTGCTGTGAAACACGCTTTCAATACACAAATGATATTGTTGCTTGGCGTGCAATTGAATAAATTTATTTCATAAAAAATAAAATAAATTTCTAAAAAATATATTTCTAAAAATAAAAATAAATTTCTAAAAATATACGTTACCTTAGTGTTTAGGGATAATTTTTTTTTTATTTTACTAAAATAAAAATAAATAAATTTTAAGAATTAAACCCCAAACCCTAAAATAAAAAAAATAAAATTTATCCCTAAATATTAAGGTAGCGTTTGGTAACGTTTATGTTTTTTGTTTATATTTATGAAAATTTTATACACTGGTTTTTGTTTATTTTTAGAAAAACATAAATTACAAACACGTTTGGTTTGAACAAAATGGGGGAAAAAAATTTAATTGGAAAAAAAAATTTAATTGAAAATAAATTAATAGAAAAAAAATTTAATTGAAAAAAAAATATTTGGTCTTAATTTCAAATAATTGAAAAAAAATAAGACCAAATAATTGAAATTAAGATCAAATAATTTTTTTCAATTATTTTTTTTCAATTAATTTTTTTTTCTATTAATTTTTTTTTAAATTAATCTTTTATTTCAATTAAATTTTTTTCAAATATTTTTTTTCCCAATTAAATTTTTTTTCAAATAATTATTTTTTCAATTAATTTTTTTTTAAATTAAATTTTTTCAATTATGTTTTTAATTATTTTATTGTTCAAACCAAACGCGTTTGTAATTTATGTTTTTCTAAAAATAAATAAAAACCAGTTTATAAAATTTTCATTAATATAAACAAAAAACATAAACGTTACAAAACGCTACTTTAGTATTTAGGGATAAATTTTTTTTTTTATTTTAGGGTTTAGGGTTTAATTCTTAAAATTTATTTATTTTTATTTTAGTAAAATAAAAAAAATAAATTTTATCCCTAAACACTAAGGTAACGTATATTTTTAGAAATTTATTTTTATTTTTAGAAATTTATTTTATTTTTTATGAAATAAATTTATTGGACCAACTGTTGATGAGTGTTGACTTACTTGATGTATCAGTTGGTCCAATAGCACGCCAAGCAGCAATATCATTTGTGTATTGAAAGCATGGTTCACAACCACGCTTTTAGAAGAAAAAAAAAAAATTGATAAAAAACGTGGTTTACAACCATGTTTTCAAAAGAAAAAAAATTTAAGTTAAAATCATGGTTCACAACCATGCTTTCAGAAGAAAAAAAAAATATAACTAAAAGCGCGGTTTGTAACCGCGATTTCTTAATCAAAAGCGCGTTTTGTAACCACTATTTTAAGACTTCCCAAATTTCACGCAAAACAGGCGCACAGACGTTGAAATCGTGGTTGTGAACCACGTTTTAGCCTATTTTGGAAATTCTTTCAAAACTAGGCTTAGTTTGGAAATTGAATTAGTATTTTGGCTTATTTAGGGAAATGCCCCCTCACTTTTCTCCTCCGAAATCAATTGACGTTCTACTTTCCTATGCCATAGCCCCATATTTTTTAATTTTCAACCATGGTTACTTCCAATTTTCATGATTTGGGTGGCTTGGATATCTCAAAATGATATTATTTTGAGATAAATTGTTATCGTTTTGATATATTCAAGTTATTCGAGTCACACAAATTCGAGATACTAAGTATTTTTTTTAATTTTTTTTTGAATAATGTTATATGTATCAATTAGAGTGTGTTTGATTGGAGAGACTAGATAAGGGGATTAGAATCCATCGAACTTGAATCATGGGATTGTGAATCTCCCGGACTATTTGGCTGGATTAGATGTGTATCAGTATTTGTTTTTTCATGGAATTAGATGTTTGAAAATGACTATTTTTAATGAATCGAATGTTGTGATTGGACGGACTGATTAGGATAAATGAGCAAAAGACTGTTTTACCCCTTTTCAATTGTTTACTAAATAATAACAATATTAAACATATCTTTAATATTTAATTATTTTTAACTAGATTAAATAAAAATTTATTTTATTTTGTTTTTTACACAATTAAATAAATTTATTTTTTAAAATTAAATAAATAAAATATCAATAAAAATATACGTTATTTTTTTAATTAAAATTTTAAATAAATTTGTTTTTAAAAATAATAATAATTAAACAATAAAATTAAATGAAACATCTATTAAAATTTAAATAATGAAATTAAATAAAATATAAACAAAATTTTAAAATAAAACATCAATAAAATATCTATAAAAAATTATTTCACGCTTTTAAGGAAATTTTATTTATACAAAAATTTTGAAGTAATTATTTTTTTAAAGTAAATCTGATTAAGAAAATTTGATTTATACATAACCATGCTGTGGTTAAGTAATTCTTTCTATCTTCAGAAAACGTGGTTGCAAACCACGGTTTTATTGTTGACCCGTGGATAATAATCACTTCTAAGCAAAATGTAAAAATTCAACAAAGAATTCAAAATCAGCACTCATTCTTGTTTGTCACAGACACTCACAAACGGTAAGGAATGGGGGGTTCACAGAAAACTAAATTTCGGGGGCTGGACAAACAAGCTCAAAGCCAAGCAGTTGGTCCAGTTGGGGGACTAATAAAGTTCAAACAAACGAACTACCGCCTTCAATAACACATAAAACTGAACAGGTAACTCGGTGAAAAGCTTCCCTTAACTGCGCCTCGTCAAATAGGGATCCTCTACGTAAAGAATTTCAATCTCCATCAGGAAAGAAGAAAGAGTCGCCTTCCAATTCCTGGAAGTCCAGTAAAAATGATGACTCTGGTAAGGAATGGGGGGTTACAGAAAACTAAACTTGGGGGCAGGACGAACAAGCTCAATGCCAAGTGGTTGGTCCAGTTGGGGGATTAAATAATTTTCAAAAAATTCTTCTTGGAAATTAGAAAACCGAGTAAGTTTTGGATTTAAAATGGCTCCACAATTATTTTAATATATACATTTTAATTCCAACAATATTTTCATACACTAGTCTTCCAATACTATTGGGTTAAGTGGTTGTCCGTGAGATTTGCAAATTTATTACGAGTGATTTTCAGAAAAAATGTAAATAACAATTAATCTTCCATACCTATGGGGTTAAGTGGGCGTGCGTTTAATGCACCAGTTTTCTGGACAGATTTGAATGCACCATGATATTCACAAACATTGGTGGCCAAGTACTCCTACCTAACCCACGTTTCACATACAAGGTCCACCATTATTTTAAAGTTGATTTCAAAAGTTGAGATTGTAAATGTTTCCCAAAATATTACAAATCGAATAATCAAAAGTTGATTTTAAAATAATTCCAAATGACAACAAAAATTCAAATAGTCTTACTTTTCCCGTTGATAGAAATAGTAGGTCATAACAACGAATGATGCATAGCTAAGTGAAACACAACATTGCCTACATAAGCTTCATTTTTTCAAACATTGAGTAGTCTAATCGTGGAGAGACTTGTCAGTATATGCAGATGGATTGTGAAGTCATGTGACCTGGTGCACAAGCTTTGGTTTTCTCGATATTTTGCTTGATTATTTGATACACAATGACAACTCATCTCTTATTGATATATGTGGGATTCTCAATTCAGAAAGTCACATGGCAACAGTGAATTCACTGATTTACCTTACAGTGAGCATGCCCTTATTTTGTGGGTATATGCAGATGGATTGTCAAGTCATGTGACTTGGTGTACAGACTTTGATTTTCTCAATTTTTTGCTCGACTTTTTTATTACAATGATAACTCATTTCTTATTAATATATGTGCGATTCTCAATTCAGAAAGTCACATGGCAACAGTGAATTCACTGATTTACCTTACAGTGAGCATGCCCTTATTTTGTGGGTATATGCAGATGGATTGTCAAGTCATGTGACTTGGTGCACAATATTTCCTTTTTTCTGGTTTTTCATTCTACTGACAACTCATACCTTGTTCGTTTATGTGGGATTGTCATACAGGGCCATATTTCTAAAGCTGTTCATAACCAACTATATAACGACTAAAGGTGAAGACACAACCTTACAACTCATTTCGCCCTACGAAATTATCATTCATTTGTTTTAAAAAATTAGCATGGCTACATGGTTCATGGGAGGGAGTGGGAATCGCAGAGGTGGTAGGAACTTGCAAAGGGGTGACAGTTCACGACGAGGAGGGGAAGGGGAAGTGGCGATGCTGAAGATGAAACACCATTTGCCTCGTTAGATGCCTCTTGTGCTTATCATGATAGGTTTGGGAAGCGACATTTTGTCATGCCCAAGTACTATCGAGATCCATGTGGTTTGGTGGAGGATATGGTTTAGTAAACGCTAGACTTCTGAAGTGGCCCGCACTATTTATAGAGCGAGTCCAAATGGAAAGATTATGTCGGGAAAATCAATTGAAGGTGCCAAAAGCACGTTCTGTTGAGATCCAAAAGGAAGATCCTGATAATGTTGATCGACTATGTGAAAGACTACAACGTGAGATTTCTCAAATGAACCGTTGGTTAGCCCGCGATATGCAGCTATACATAGTTAAGAAGGATGCCCAGAAGAACAAAACAGAACCAAATGATGTGGCTATCAAGGGTATCATGGAGGATCCTCAGCTTGTCTCTGATGCTGAGCTTTCGGATTGTTCA